TGTGTGTGTGTATTAAGAGCTCATTTGTGTGAAAATGAGATTTGTATCATTGGGCCATTGTAAGTGCTTAGAATTTACGCCAAAATAAATAACATAATAACCATATTGAATGAGCCAACAAAATACCAAAATTGTGTCATTTTATAAAACACCCATTTGTTTGGCGCAACGATCAAAACAATGTGCAAAGAGCTTGTATTTTTATCATTATCATTTAAATTAAAGCAATGCATTATATGGTATGAAGTTTGAAAATAAAATGAACCCATTTAGCTGTGTGGAGCTGCGGTTGAAGCACGTACTTTAATACATGTATACGGTTTTTTGCACGATATCATGTGTGTGTGTTTGTGTGTGCGCGCAACATACAACTAATTCGTAATATAACCTTTTACTTGCTGGGAATGGGTGGCAAATTTTTGGCAATTTTAATTGTTACTTCGTATATTGTTTGTATCGTTTATGTTCACTCTGTGTGCGATGAGAACAAAGCACCAACATAACTGAATCAGTTATGCTACTAAAACCACACAAATTAAAATTTTAACCGAACAATGTGATAAACTCACACATACATACTTACATGGCGTTGCCTGGTTATTTCTCCAAATATAAATTGGATGTGGATTTTTTTTATTATCAATCTATGCACTCCAAGAATGACACGCACGTTTCTATTTTCGACACTTTGAATCAACTTAAAAAATCGATCGCATTTCAATCTTATTTCACTCAAATCGATGCCTGTGCGACGCATTTCGCATTTGTGGAAGGAATTTTCCATCGAATATTTCGAAGTAAAATTATTTCAACTGTACCAGTTGATATGCACTCTTGTTTCTTCCACTCTAAAAGTTCCACATATAAATAGTGTGTTGGACTACTATTTGAAAATAAGGGACTTAACACCATGAATATGATATTGTCATGATTTCGCATACATTCTTATTATTACAGCCCATTTCACACACACAACTCCGTCCGAAATAATTTAAAATTATAAATTTTCCTATTATGCTTTGCTTTCGTTTCATTTGAATACGCCGTTGCGATGATGACATTTTATTATTGTTTGGAAAGTTGATGTGCATTTTTCGGGAGGTATATAAATGTGCATGCGGTTTGTTAATGTGGCGAAAGTAATTTAATTTTATATATGACTTTGTACATATATTATGTAAAAAAAAAGCTTAACCGTTATCCATGGAGTGTGCAGTGGGAGAGCGAGTATGTGTGCATGAAAGGATAGCAGAGGAAGAGGGTGATAAAAAGCGCTATCTGTCGCCCATCACATTAATATCCTCACTTATTATATAAATGAATGATTACTCAACGCAGTCATATATGATGTTGCATGCTATATCTCTGCCTATGTCTATATGGTAACCTCCTAGTGGGCGAAATTTAAATACACATTTTCTCATTGAACACATGACAATTGTTTAGAACATTTTGTCCATTGAATGAAATAAATTTCATTCTCGCGACCTCATTTTGCATTTCCAATGTGGTTAACTGTGTTGTTGTTGTGTGTAACGGAAACTTATGCATATGTACGACTGGTGAGATTTTATGGCCGTATCTCCAAGTGTATTTTCATCTGTGAAAATGGAAAATTTGTTGAATAAACGAATTTAGTGAAAATGGGAGTGACCACTATCATAACATCAAAAAATTTATTGAGTGTAATGCTCGTTGTAGATTTATTCTGAAATGAACGTCAACAATACTCGATGTTTTCGATTTTTTTATTACTATTAAATCTTTCTTGGTGCGCACGGTGTCGAAATTACCAATAAAAACATGAAAATTATTCACATAAATGCTTGAAATCTGTATTAAATATGGCAACTGATGCCAAAATGATATATCATTATGTATACATAAAAAGAGTTCATTCGAATCCTTTAATAATTTAAATGCTCAAGTACTTTTAGTGACTTATCCGATTTTATCGTTCACATTTTGCACCAATGTAAATCGTTCCATCGTATATATCGTTCAGTCCAGTATCCACATACGTATACGTGCACATACTTGTAACATTTTAATTTCCACCCTTGATGATATATCACCACTTCAAGAAGAAAGTAAATATTTACCTAAATCAAATGTTTTCATTTCTCAAGAGGGTATTTCCTGCACTGCAGCAGAAAAATGCTCCGCACCGACGTGCTTTTTTTTCGTGTTGTTAATTTTCTGTCACAAAACACCTTTTTTGCGATACAATCTATATTATGAGCACGCAAAATGATTTCGCCCGCAAACTGTATAGCTTCGTAGGTTAAATTTCTGAATTGAAACGTTTTACTTGTAAACAAAGATGCAAATGTTATCTGATTGTATGATGAACAGCATACACATGAATAAAAGTGATGATAAAACATTTTATGTGGCACAAATTCCAAGGAATATGAGCAATGGGTGATTTTATGAGCAAGTCAAACAATTCTTACAAAGCATTCTCCTGTTCATTGTAAAAATATTAAATTCATTCATCATACACACTTTTCCAACAACGACAAATCAAACAACATCTGAAAAATGTAATTTTGGAAGAGCATATCGGAACACAAATAGCACATATTTTAGAAAGAAATTCAATAGTTCAATCGTGGCACATGGGACATATACATTAGCGGGTATAGTGGGTATAGTGATTGAAAAAATATAATATAAGAATCAGCATGACGGAAAACTCGTACAGTCGTACACTCTCAATTTCTGTGGGTAGAATATGACCAACAAAAATTTGGTAGTTCATAATTGCAATTGCAAAGAACACGATAGCACTCTGTGAATTAAGGCAAACATTTTCAACTGATAGTTCAACGAAATCAGTGAAAATACAAACATTTGTCACTTTTTCGCTTTTCTTTGCTATTTCTTTTTTTGTTTTGACCGTGCCCCCCAACTATAAACGAAATCCTGTATGCGCCCTTGTCGCAGATTAAAAGGTTAAAAATATAATTGAACCGGTTATGGTTGAGAGAAACACGAAAAATATTGGCAAGTAAATGAATGTCTCATTCAACTGACTATATTTTTGCCGCACAGCCGTTATTTGGTCGAATACATATATATTGAAACTTTATGGAAACGACGACGACGCCGTCGAAGAAAAGAATTCCGGAGACCTTATGCGTGTTGTACCACTTTTTGTTCTATTCCAAAGACAGTTTTTATTGATCACCATCTTCTTATGGCAAATGTGTTCGATTTATAATGCTTTCTTAATGCGGATTTAATGACGTGATGTTAGTGCACAAAGAGATTTTTCCGATTTCATTTTTTTACGATTCTCATTAACAATGCAACGTTGTCAATATACTTTTTCAATTTGCCACGCAAAAAATAACAACGACAGTTGTCACATGAATGCTTTCTGGATTCCCTTTTGAATTTTCTTTCGATTAAGTACTCGTACCCAAATTATATTGCAATAAATGCAAATGAAGATGTTTTTGAGAATGCCATTAATTGGAATAGTTGTACTACAACAAAAACTACTAATAATTATTGAGATCTTTTCAATAAATTTTATCATTTTTTGTGAACAAAACAGATTTAATCTCATTTAAATTGTTTATTTGTTTATTTCATTGCAGACATTACATTTGGATTAACTATTCGCATTGAGGTTCCGTTGGGTGTCCGTCGTGGTGATGATGCGCATTTAGTATGCAATTACAATTTGGAAAATGATACTTTATACAGTGTAAAATGGTACAAAGGGTATGTATTTCTATAATTTCGACAGGCCCATTTTTTTGAATTCGCTCATTTTCTATTTTTCTCGTATTCTATTTCGCCTAGTCGGAGGGAATTCTATCGATAGTAAGTGTTTTGAAATTAAAAAGAAAATCATCACATAAAATTTTCATTTTATAATTTTGAATTTCATTCTCGTTAAGTTTGCCAAAAGAAAATCCGGCTATGAAGCTGTTTCCGGTGGCCGGTATAAATGTGGAGGTAAATTCAAAACCAAATCAATTCGTTATTCTTTCAACGATAAAAATCAAATTTCTATACACAAAGATTTAATTGGTTAAATGCGTTTCGAATGATAATGCTGAAAATTCGAGCAAAATGTTCGTTTAGCCATTGGATCGGCCATAACAAATTTTTATCAAGATTGAGATGCCGTTTAGTATTTTAATACTAATGTACAAGTTGTATGGTGAATTGTCTAAGTTTCCGAGAGTTGTGGATAGTATCATTCATTATTTAATGCAGATAAAAATCAGAGCAGGAAGCATGTGCAAAATGACATTCATGCACGCGTACTGTAAGCATAGATGTTCATGTCGACATATTTTTGTACTTGGAAAATAACATTGTCGTCGCAACACATAAACACACACACACATACATCGAAAAATCCATCCACGTAGCAACAAACATTTCCCCAAACATGCAATGCATTGAATCGGTTTGAATATTGCGTTAACAAGACCGTTTCACCAAAAATCTCCAACATAATAGCATCAAGGTTTTGTTTGATTTGAAATCCCCGTAAAACTACCTGCATTAATAGGTCGGCTATCTGATGGATTTTGCTAGTCAGGTTATTCGTATACCTTTGGATCAGGATTTTCTACACTATATCTAGATGATGCATTCGCGGTATTTCATTATCTTTTTTGTGTGTACGGTTGTAACCGTGCACACATTGTACGCGATACATACAAGCATACATATAGGTCGTATTACAAGAGTTCATTTTTTTTTCGTAGATAGAAAATTGTATGATACAGTTCCGGAGTAAGCAAAACACACACATAATGTATATTGAACATGTGAATACATAGATTTTGTACAGGGCTCAATATTTGATGCAATCGCCAATAATAATTCATCGATGATGCGATCCGGATTGGCCGATTTGAATTTACGTGTGTTACATAGCAATCTTATTGATGGAACCGATGGAAAACAACGATGATGGACACAAATAAAAATCAGCGGCTAATCAAAGTGTGAAAGAATTTTGCATTTTATCACTTCGATTTGGATTACCGACATCTATCTCAACTGCTTTTTTACATCATTTTATGTTTTAACGAATTTTAGAATATGTATAGATATATATATTTTGTCAAAGCACTAAAAAAGTCAACGGGCACGATTCCAAGTTCTATTGCACAAATAGACGCTCAAAAGAATTGCATGCGATATCATTGCAAAATTCCAATAGCCAAAATAACTGTCGTCTGCATATTTTTCATTGTGAACACTGTACGCTTTAAATGTAGTTGGAATTGTTTTTGCAAGGTAAAAGTTGATGGAGCGATTGAAATCCTACCGAAGGTACTACAAAATTGTAATTTCTCTCTCCTTTTATCGTAATATAACGTTTTATCGATCATACATGGGGGGCTCCATTGAAGGATGAAATGAGTTTTTTGTTTGAATATTTTGTCCTATTCTGATGAACCTCCCTCAAATTGCCGACTGCGCCGCGAAAATATCATTAAATGTTAGAGCGCGTTTGCAGTAGACCAATTTACAGAATTGTATTTTAGCATCAAGCGTTGAAAGGGCACCAAATATTTCAAAATTTTGTCAATATTTTCCCATCGAATAAAATGCTCAGCAATGCACAGTGAAACTTACAATATATTGTTTTGGTGTCTTTTTACAAACTTTTGTGTGGAAGTCACCAGTTCAATTGTGATTTTCGTATTTATTAACATAAAGTAACATGAATGTTGTGCATTTGGAAAATGCATGGTTCGTTTTTTTTTGGTGAATAGCTTGCAACATGTCGATGCATAATGTAAGGTCAATATTTCCGTAAGCCGATAAATGTTTCTAAAGTTTAAACGACAAATGTGGTGTACAATACTACAGTAAAAAGTTTTCAGTTTTCTTCGGGAATTTTGAATAATTCATCTAATTTACCATTGTCGCCAGAAAACTTGAGCACGTAGTTTTGTTTTGCATTTTTATTATAAGTTTTAATTCCTTTTTGTTTGCCAATTCTCAATAGTTGCTGGAAAATAGATGTCGAACATCATTCGCACATTTATTTTAAACATTTCAAGAACTCTGAATCGACAGTCAAGTCCAGTTTATGGAGATTAAGTTTTCCACAATTTTCTCGGTCCAGTTTCATTTGTTTATTCATTTATTTTGATTAAAGTACGTACATAAAATTGATTTTATTGGACTATTTTTGGCAGATTTGATATGTTTTGTTCTATTTACTAATGCTCAATCTACGAATAATAGCATGAGGTAGAAATTGGCAATTTGAAGCCAAAAATCCAAATGTATTGCATGTTATAACTAAACCATATAATGAAATTATTTGAGAAATATTCTTTGGCATCGTCATCCATGTTTGGTATTGATTCAATCACATATTTTACATTTATGTAATATGAACGAATGAAAAAGAGACGAAAGCATAAGTCAAAAATAATAATCATAGAATTTTGGAAAAAATGGGTTACTTTTGGAGCATTCTTTCTTCCGGAGTGAAATCTAGAGTGAAATGTTAATTGAAAATGATTGTTTGATATCAAAATTGGCGAAATACCACGCAAAAATCATTCCAATGGTATTTTTTTTAAATATTTATTTTATGAAGTTTACAATTTGTATATAATAATCGGTCACTCGTGCCGAACGATGATTTCACAACTGGTGCCCAAACAAGTCAACTCAACTTCTGAAACGTCCAAGATATTTATTTAAATACGGAATGCTTATAACTTTATTTGTTCACAAACAACTCGTAAGTTGTTTCTTTCGCAATTCCAAGAGACCCGCCCAGAGAAACTATCATTGTTCAATGTTACGTTCTCAAGTTACCTCCGTGTTCCCTTCTCAAATATGATGACATTAACTTTTTCTTTCATTTTACCATAATATACATTTGAATCTAATCTTCTATTACGTCTCTATAGCGCCAAGGTAATAATTAAGTATCTAGATTGTCTTGGACCCGAGAAACCGAAAAAACACATAGTTCTCTTTTTTTTAATCCGGGTCCCGGGTGAAAGCCAATTGTTAAGCGACAAACAAAAAACACTCATACAAATGGATGGTGAACAAAACAAGTGATGAGATAAACCAAACGCCATGTAGAAAAACATGAAACAAATAAGAATGGAAGCGTTATAACATGCCAAAATAGACAACAATGATGTCGACAATGATGAGATGAAAAAGTGCATTGAAAAAAAAAGAAACCATAAAGACTTTGGGGATTTTCAGACGTTTAGTATCATTAATCAAGTAAGAGGAAATATGCCACATCATTATTATGGCTTCTTGGAAACAACGTATGCTGAACGACTCATGAACGACTCATGATGGTTGCAACAATGAAATGCGCGTTTATGTCAAAATGAAAAACAGCACCTAATCGTCATACAATGCACGATTTCCTCATATTCGTCTCGTGAATTATTTTGAACTTAGGCTCAAGGACAAAAAAAAACAGTGCAGTAGATATTTGCTTCCTCACTTCATTTCAAATGGTTTTTGCCAAAGTATCCCCTCACACTATCGTCCTTTTTCTCTAGTAAATGTACTCAGAAGTTCGAAAGCTTACACAGTATAATCTCGTTCATCTATTCGAATATGAAGATGTCACATTTCTCTTTTGGAATAAAAAGGTTTTTCCATCAGTAAGAATTCCTCCGAAAACAATTTCAATGCGCACATTTTCCGAATCAACAACTTTGTGTTTGGTTCTTTTGTCAAAAAATAGACAATGGGATTGCTTAGTTTTCATACACAATGTCTAATCTAGTTGGGAAATGATTAAAAATTGTGCAAAATCTTTCCTCTATTTTACCAAATTAATTTTTCAATGGTTTTTTTTTTTGAATACTGTGCTCGGTATAACAATTAAACAATGTTATATTCATTTGCTTTCTAGGCCACATTGGAACGGTTCGAATAATTGATTTCATATTTGTATGATTTTATCGTTGAATAGATTTGTCTGTTTGAATGAAAATTGTCAATTGAATCGTTTATGCAAGCGATTGAATTGATTTCAGGCAAATCAGAAATGACCATAATTGACCTCAAAAAAATGTCGACAACTTCAATTGATTTCCTTTCATGTTTGTATCAATATACAGTGTTCATGTGTGTGTGTGAAGTAAAAATGATTTCCAGCATACGCATCTACGCATCCACACAAGAATGAGTGGTTCAATGAGTTAAATGCAATCAAATTGACATCGGGTCGAAAGATAGTGAATAATTCAACAGAATAATTGAAAATAGTCAGGCTGACACACAAAACCATTAAACATTGTAACCAACAAATTGTATTCATCATTTTCGGCACACATGTCGTGCCCAACATAGAGTGCACACCGATTGACATCCTCACAGTGATGATGATGACATCGAAAATACCGATTGGGTCGCGTTAAAAAGAGACCGATAGTCCAATACAGAGATGAACTCACTTGTTCAATGTATACGGTAGTCACCAAAATAGAAAATTAAAATGAAATGATAAAACACAATGATATCGAAATTACGTATACAATTTAAACAGGGAAGCGTCCAAAAACCAAAATGGAGTACAAATTTTTTGCGTGAGATGAATGGACAAAACGAACGTTAGATATGTGTATTGGTCATTTATGTACATGTTGCATTCATTTTGTTTCATTTCGGGTTTTGAAGCAAAAGTGTTTGTCTTTGGACCAGCCTTTCATTTTGAATCCTTGGATTTTCGTAAAATATTCTCTGTATTTCTCTCACTTTTGCGCCAACAAGGCTAACATTTAAGGGAAACATTTTTTAGTGGCTTACAACAATGCAATTGCCGAACAGTTTTGTATTTCCTCTGTGATCGAATGCAGTTTCATCATCAATTTCTCTCGTTTTTTCGGTCTCGGTCTCTGTCTTTCTCTCTTTTTCTATTTTCACACAATTGAAACTTGGAACGATATGTCGAACGCAATGCTTGTCGGTGGTTTCTATTTGAATTTAAATTTGGAAAACGCCGAATTGCTTCCGTATCGGTTGATAAATTTTCGTTCGCTATAATTTGTGCGTCTGTTAGTATTTGCCCATAGTTGATTGGAATTGGAATATGCATGGCTATAGTTTAGGCGAAAATGAAGCAAACATTTTCCCCGTTGTGTACATGAGAAATTGACCAAAGTGACCACGAATCAGTGCACTGCACACATAAAATGCAAACGCATTCAAAATGCATGTATTAATGATTGTATAGGGAAATTTACTTGCTCCAACATACTTATCGATCTAGCTTGGAACAGTGCCATACTTAAGTCATTTATGCTCGAGGGCGTTATGACTATGGTGCCCTCCTCAACTCAGATATTTGTGTTTACAAAAATTTGCCATAAATTTTCTTTTACAATTTTAGAGAAAACGATATTCAAAAATTGTTTACCTTCGCATATGTGCATTTTCGATCGCTCATAAAATCATTGAAAACGATTAATATGCTAAATTTTGCTACTGTTGGATTTACTTACGATGGGCCGCACTTCCTGTCACATTCCTGTGCGGTCCTGAACAATTTCCGTCCGTAGGTAAAAAAAGGGACATGAGTTGGATAGTTGGCTGCTTACACTGATTTCCGAATCTACAAATTGACACGAAACTACGTTCGAATTGAAAGCAAACATTTGAAATGCATAAAAAGCTTGGTTATATAATTAATAGAAAATCTATTAGTTTTTTCGTAATGGTCATTATGCGTTTGTTTCTACCATTTTTGGTTTCACAGCATTTACAATCGAATGCCAGTCATGTTTTATTGAGAGCAGTTGAACCAAGCATATCGGGTAAATTTTCTTGTGAGGTTAGTGCCGACGCACCCAGTTTTCACACCGAAGTACAATCAAGTATTTTGGAAGTTTGTGGTAAGTTGAACAAAAAGAAATATATTTCATTGAATGACCTATTCATTTATGTGCATATCTTTAGTTTTAATCACAGCTTTGGAGCCTATAGACTTCAATGCAGTAGCTTTTATTACACATTTGAATGGTAGACAAAATTTTGGTTAAAACATTCAATTAGTAAAGAGAAGCTCGTTGCTTTAACATTGTTTCATAATAATTTTTTCTGTATCGAGTTTTTCAATTTAATGAAATATTAGTAAAATATGTAAAAAAAAATAAGAAAAAAATTATTCGAAAATGGTTGCAATATTTTTTCTAAAATACCCAACAACTCTCCAATCCGTACAGATTTACCAAAGCAGGTTCCAGTTATAACAGGGATTCAGTCACGTTATCGACATGGCGATACAATACAAGCGAATTGCACATCTTTTAACTCAAAGCCAGCGGCAAATTTGACGTGGCTGATTAATGATGTGCCGGTATGTATATTTTTTACATGTTATTTTATGATAAATTGACAAAGAGAATATATATCTCCATTCAAAAAAAATACATATAAATATTTTCACAGGCATTCAGAGTTGAAAGCTAATTAAATATTCATATTTTTCATAATGAAATTGGATATTTTTAATATTTGGTCGTACCAATGTGGTAGTGTCTTTCATCTCTGAAATACTCAATTGGCAAAAAATGAGCATAAGAGTCACTTAAATCGAATGTCGATTTTACATGACACCATTTGTGCTCAATGTGAAATATACAGTGGTGGCGTGGCAACCAAAGTGGTTACTGTTGAAATGAAGAGAATCAAAGTGTGAATAGGTCAATGAATGATGCTAGGAATGATGTGTGCAAATACGCAATTGATAACAGCTAACCAGCCAATTGTTTGTTCGCTTGTCAAGTTTTTAGTTCAATATAAAATTCATGTTTAATATAGATACACACCGACCAATGAAAATTATTGTATGAAAAATTATTGAGTGTGCACGAACTCTTGCAACACGCACACACACACACATCGATGTCAATCAAATGATGGAATTAAGCCAATGTGTTCGAATCACTAATAATACATGCATGTTTCGGACAAATGCACGGAGACATGATGCACACGCTTTACATGTGTTTGTGATGATTTCTATTTCAAAATGTGTTATTTCACCTCTTTATCCGATTGAATTGGAGTTTTCGGTCAAAGGTTCAATTGCGGATATTGCACACAGACTCAGCACACACACGCGCACACACACACACACACACAAACACACACACATTTTCAGGCGATTACCAAACAACATTATGCGAATACTGCACTTAGATAATATTTGCGGTTGCACATGTTGTCATTATCTATTAGAATATGTGTATGCTCAGGCAGTAAGCATTCACACGGTGCTCTGAATACAAAACGTTAGAGTAGACGCGAAGGGTAACGGGACGAAGACGACGAGGATATTTGGATTTACGTTATTTTCACTCCAAATCGACCGCATATTCAAATGACTCATCATCTTTTCACAAAAGATGCTGATTTTCTACTGCAACCATCATTGTCGCATATCAACAAAACAATTACCATGCAATTTATTATGTGGTTTTCGATTAGTCCATATTCCAAGCACAGCAATTTTGAGTCTATGCTAATATTGCACGTACGTCAAGTGTGTGCCCACCACATATCTGTAATATACATATAAAATACAATATGCTGAGGCTAGAGCTTTTGTATTGCAGCGCATGACCGCACATTTTATTTATTTGACTAGAAAACTTATGAGACCTTCGTGTTAGATCCATTTGTCCACTCGTACATTTAACCGAGTAACAAATGATAATAATTATTTCGACACTTGATTCTTCCTCGTTCGGTATCTTTGGACCACATTCTATGCCACTCTCTGTCTGTCTGTCTGTCTGTCTTTCTTTCCCTCCTTCCTTCTCGCTCTCTCTCTCTCTATCTCTGTCTCTACCTACCTATCTCTCAAAATTTTTGATTTGCTTCATTGAATACGAGCAGGGATTTTCTTTTTCATTTCAAATTCAAATAAAAAAAAATCTTATCCGATCTGAAGTACTTTTGCGGTTATTACTACATAATTTAATTGAATTTTTTTTTTGTCAATGTTGAGAGTAAATCTCTTTTGTATCATAAGCTCAATCGTATTTATTAAAAGTGGATTGAAGTACTCTTGAAATATAAATTTTTTGTCATTTTCACCTTCGAATCATTTTTTTGATTTCAAATTTAATTCTCCTCCTCTTGCATTTTGAAATTCGTATTCATTCAGGCGCGACGCTTGTATTTCCATAATTATTATGAATGTCACGAAAATGGTGCGAACATTTGAATTCTAATAGCATCAATTCTGTCGCGTATGTGTATCTGTATACATATATATAATTGATAAGGCTTCATTTATTATTGAAATTTCAATGAATGAAACAATATACCATGATAATGAAAACAAACGAAGATATTTTCGTGAACATATGGAAATTCAGTCGAAAAACGGGTCCGCAATGTACGCGAAACGAACAAAAATAAATACACTTGAGAGAGAAGTTGCATACACCCATAAGTGGTGCACACATAAGTAAATATACACAGAGAACAAGTGAGATAAACAGAGAGATTCGATATGATTCAACGACGTAGTCTCCATCTTCGTATTCGAATCGAAAATGAAAAATGATGAAGCAAAAGAAGTATGCGCGCCATAATGTAAACCGATATATGCGTTTTGTTGAATGTTATACATGGTAGAGCGGCGAATTCGTGCTCATCTATTTGTCGTGTAATCCGTTCCGTTTTTCGAGAAACAATTTTAATTGAATAGTCAAGTTGATGGAAAATCGTTTTTGTGTGTTCAATTACGATGTGCCAAGCGAAAGAGCGACAACAACAACCGTGCCTCGTAATACCAATGCCATTAACAACAAACAAGAGGAAAAGTATAGAGGACAAAATCGAAAAAAGATTCAAATACACACAAAAAAAAGACCGCCGTTCTTCGGAGAAAGAAAAAAATTAGAGCGCATCACCGTCGTTGAAAGTCATTGTAAATTGAAATCTCGCAGATGGTTGAGTTGCGAACGTATAAATGACATACCTTAACATTTAATTCTTTTTTTTTTCTTTCGGGAAAGCATATTGAGCAAAAATAAGGAATATTTGTACCCATGTCTCTTCTACTTTATGCACGCCAACTTCAGATACCATTTCAAACGAACTTTTAAATACGTCAATCAAAAAATAATTTACGTGTCGCATAGATACCCATGTGCGCGCACTCGTGTTCGCGTGAAGTAGCGTCACTCAATACACATCTGTATGTGTCCGTGTGTCACAAAACATGCGCTTGGGAATAATAATAATTTTATAAAACACAATCACAGCCACATATCGTAAAATTGCGATATGTCGACAGTGTGTGCGGTTTTGATCAACGCGCCATATCTTTTGATTGTGATTACTACTAGTGATACATGTTTGCCACCATAAAAAGGGATATACAGTACCGATACGATTATTGTGAACGATGATGATTTCTACTTTTGTGAAGTTCATACAAATAAAGATTGAAACGATGCATATACTGTGATATAGAGAGATACAAAGTGTCAGTGTGTGTGTGTGTCACTGTTTGCATACATTTACGTGGAGCATGTGTTGATTGATAATCTTTTGATCGTTTTAGTAATTTTATCTGCATCACTATACCTCTATTCTTCGATATTTCGTTGTTATATTGTTTGTCAGCGTTATGGTTGTGTGTCAATCCGTAATTCTCTGAGCTTCTTTATCTTATTACTCTCGGTGTGTGAGCGCATAGTTATGAAGGACATCTCTTTCAACATCCTATTACTCAATGTAGTGTTCAATTTTATTATTGTCATTTAGCAATGCTCATTGTACGCTGCAAATATGCACATTTACAATACGGAATAGCAATTTGGTTGTTAGTGCCTGGTGAATAGCAATACCAATCAAGTCTTATTCAACATTTTCATGGTTCAAAAGACATTTTGACACAAAGCATTTCAAATGAGCACAATGAAGTAACATAGTGTGTGCGATATAAAAAAGAATTGTTGCAAACGAAATTGGATTCTAAGTGGCAATATCGACGAAATTGTAGAACAGAAATCAAGAAGTTGCCAGTGGAGAAAAGCAGCTTTATTAATGCCAATTGATTTTGACTTTTTTTTAGAACTCATTGAGAGTGAAGACAGAAATAGAGGAAGATATAAAGAATATTTTCTAAAGTTAGATTTGATTTGTATGCGGTTTGGAAGGAAAGCCGTTCATTTATTATTGAAAAATTCTTTTTGTAACAAACGGATGAATTCACTTCAAAAAAATCTAACACAATTGCATTTCTCGGTATGATTTGGCGAGAGAGAGAGAGAGAAATGCATAGTTTCGTTTTGATCAACTTACCATCCAATCGACATTCCTTTTCATCACATTCTAGAGCTTCCATTCAGTTCACCACAATTTTTCTGATCAAATTTGCAATGAACTTATAGCCAACTGGAATATTTCTTTCATGAGCATTTCGACCTAGCAATCGAAAAACACTAAAGAAAATCTATAAATTAAAAAAAAAAACATGTTTACTTTTGATGCGATTGTTTGCGTTTTATGTTATTGAGAAGAAAAAAAATATCAAAACTATTATCAGTAGAATTTATTTTTGAAGCTTAAAATATTTGAAATATTCCATGAATATAAAACCGATGTTCTTTCATCATTTTCAGGCATCTCCGTCTCTTATTCGACAGCACACTCCAATTAAGAATGTCACAAACTTCTTGGAGACGACAACATTGGAAATAAATTTACTAGTCACAAATAGCTATTTTACCAGCAGCTCGCGAGGGCGACTTAAGGTAAGTTTTTTTGTCACACCGACTTTAATTAATTTTGCAAAAGAATTTAATGACATTTCTTCCGGATTCTCTTAAGATTTCGTTTGAAAATTGCGCTTTTTTTTACTCTGCTAATGTCAAAGTGTTTGTTTAAATATACAAGTTTAAATCAAAATCATGAACTTTATTTGACCATAGAAGTTGCATAGCCCGAAACAGCATCTCCAATGTGTGTTGTACATCTGAAGAATGTTTCGCAGCAAAAAGGATTAGCCGTATTTGATTTCACAAAGAGCCCTTTCCTTGTGGAAAGCTAATTAAATTTAATGGACAGAAATTACTTTGTGGAAGACGACGTAAATGAATTTTGCCACTGAGAGCAAGAGAGAGTCTTACAAATTTGACATAACGTTTACATTCATTTTGGTTTCGATTTTACCCCTTTTCATGCTCTTCCCTTTCCAATGCGTTCAATCAATTTAATGGCCACTTGTCCGTTAAATTTCACGACTCATGCATTTCAGCCTGAGCTAAAGAGCAAAAAAGGGCTACGGGGCAAGAGAACCGACCAATTTCCAGCACAAAAATTGATTTCATATTTGATTTGATTTCTTTTTGTTTGTCGCTATCGCGCAAAAAAAAAAAACACAATATCGAAACCGAAAATTAAATCCAAATAATCTTTAGTGCCAACTCATTATTTGAGATATATATTGTGAGTCAATTTATTGATTTCAAGTGTAATGTTGAACACGTGCGATGATGATATGAAATAAAAGCAGTAGCCAATTTCGGCAGCGAAAAGTGTTGTGTCATTGTGATTTTGATAAACCCTAAAATCAAGAATGATACTGATGAGCACATAATAATTTTTTCTTTTTCTTCTGCTTATACTCGGAATATTATCATTTCATTTATTTTATTCGAAGAGATGTAGAGATAGGAAAAGATTGGAACATGCGTGAAAGATGGCTCGCTATGTATGTAAATGCACATGTATTGTTGGCTTTAGATTTTGATGATGAAACGGGTTCTTTTGTTTTTTTTTTTTGTGGACGAAGAACGAAGCTTTGTACCGGATCGTTGTGGGTTAAAATGTCAGAATGACTGCAAGAAGATGTGTATTTATATTAAATAAAAACTACTGCAAGTGATTATAATAAACGAACACGTCCAAAACGTCTCTTAAGAAATTTGTTCTTGACTTGGCTAAACGCGCATAAAACTCGACTACGTGTTTCTGAAATGATGATATATCATCCTTGCTGCATTCATCTGTCACAAGCAAGTACGTTGAATCACTTCGATGTTCAAAGCGAACCCGACGAGCGCTCTCTTCCATTTTTGGCCACAAAAACACGCAAAAAACAAAAATAAATACAGTTTTCGCATACTTGAAGGATGATCATGTTTATTTCTCCGACTCAAAACTATAATTGAAAATTGAAATACCATACATTTGTTATGGAGGACCATGCGCCACAAATCATAAAAAATAATCATCATCATCTTATACCGAGAAAAAAGTAGATGCGTATCAAAACAAATAAGTCGCATTTGGAATTGAAAAGGCTTTTTTATATTTTATGGATATTTATTACGACGACTAATCTAACGATTCTTCAAGAAATATTTTCTATTTCTTCAAATTGCAGCCAATTCAAATGGTTAAATGTAAAAGATAAAAGAGCTTGAAATTGCGCGCATGTGACACTGATGAAGTTTTATTTGTTTCAAGCAATTCTTTTTTTTTTACTTCATTTGGCCATCTCGTTCGGGTTATTGTAAAGTAAACATTAAACGAATAAGAGCAAGAAACGGGAGAGCGAGAGCAAAAAAGGCGGCCAAACTATGTATAAAATGGATGTGGATAGAAATTGCAGCAGTAACGAAAATAACAGCAGCAACGAGATGCGCACGACATTAAGAACAATATTTAAACGTACCAAGAATTTCCACCATTTATATATTTCGCTACAATTCTCTTCTTCTATATTGTGTACAGTTTTTTTTTTCGGTCGCATTATGATTTCTATCCGAATGCTATTGAGCATGTATGTGACTCAGTTTGTTCAGCTCGTTCAACCTACTTTATAATTTTAATGCATTTCTGCGATTATACTTTATAGATATTTTGCAATAAACCTTGAGAAAATAAGGAAAACGACACAACCGAACTCACACAGTGATGTGGAAGAGAAAGAGATCGGGGTTCAGCACCACATCGGGCAAAGTCATGTGCAAAGATCTGAAAGCACGTTTCAATTTTTGAAATTACTTTGGTCCTTTTTAAGCTATCCAACCATCGTTCGTTCGCTCTTTCATTTCAACATTATCAAAATACACGACTTATGGTGAGCTATTGTGGTATAACAATTGCAAAAGGGAGCACACAAAAAAGAAGAAATTACTATTTATCGGTTGAGAAACGTGTGTTGCTTACATGGATATACGGCGACGAGTGCATAGACAGTGTGCGTTCTGTCAATGGAGGAAAAAAAAAATAAATAATCAGTCGATGACTTATCATCTGACTCATTTCTGTTAAATCAATTTCAATTAGGAGCTATTACCGAATCTGCTGGGATTATTATCTTCGGTTTCATCGAATTGACAATGCCTGTGTAGTGTGTATTGTGCATGGGAAATCGTTTCTCTTTCATGAAAATTGTTTACATTTATTTAGCAATTTTCATTCGACAAAGAGTCTCCACAAAACGGGCTCATATGTTGAATGAATCACATTAAAAACGAAATTTTGAAAAAATGAGTTTTTCAAAACCATTTTTAACCTAAAATTAAATACCAATATAAATGTTGACCCAGCCCAAAAAAAATTGAACCAGTTTTCACGGTTTGAATTGAATCTTTTTTGACTCTTCAATTTCTCAGAGGAAAATTCTTTGATTTGCAAATTTTTTGGTGAAAAAAAAATGGGAACCTTTTTTGGTGATCAATTGTTTGAGATATAGTCTTGGGACCTCCTTTTGATTTTCCAAATCTCTCCCCTTTGAATCTTTGGTGTTAGTACCGGGGGGTGAATCGGAAAAGAAAAATGGAAATAATAAAAAAATAATCGAAAGAATGGATAATAGTCCTTCAGTAATGGAATAGTAATTTTTAAATGATTACACCTTGGTTAGAATACACGTATGCCAGGCATAAATAACTGAGTCAAAAGTATCAATTTTGTCCGTCCGTCCGTCCTTCCGCTCGACACCAAAAAGTATGAACATATGCCTAAACGCTTTTCTAGTTATTGTCGGCTAAAGTGCATGCAAATGTGTAATTTAAATGATCCGCTCTAATCATGCGACTAAATAGAGTTGAAAAGTTGAGAAATAACGAAATGTCTCGATAAGATTTCCATAGATAAATGGTTCTTCCTTCTGGCATTGTAATAATAATAAACAATAAAACATGTCCAATATCTGAATACCGAACGCATAAAATGTTTATTATTACATTACGGATATTTATTAATAACATACTGTGTGCGGCGAGCATTCATTATTCGTTTGAATGTAGGCTCGAATGGGTTTGAAAACAATGCTCTCAACTAATGGTTGCGCACCGAACCAAAATACACGTATGTCCAGAAGACGTAGAATTTGTTAATGTTTCATTATTATTTACTTATGCGACCAGAGGCTGAGACGCACCACCAGTTATTACCTATTGAATTATGGCAAAATTAGAGCCTCTTCCACAAAGACAGACGAATGTGTATATGTCTAAATGTTGTTGTATTTGTTGTTTATTGCATATTCGGCCGTCGTTCACCTTTAATTGGAAAACGGCAAATATTTTACATCACAGTGTCCAGGTCCACCGAGCAACACACACACACACTAAGACCGATATTTGTTATCGTATTTTGGGAGATGTTGTTTGTATTTGTATTCATTTTCATTCCGTATGTAACACCATCGCCACGAATATCACGAGATTTTGCATTTGGTGTATTTTTGTTACACTGCGGATAACAATGCAGTGCACATGGCCATTTTACCATTACTACAAAGTTAGATTTCGATCGAAACCAAAACCCATTTTACTGTGAATAAGGTCTGTATTGAGCACGATAACATTTCAACAATTTCTCGATGAATTGACCCAAGTTGATTTATACGACTGTATCATCGCATTTTTGCCTTGCATCCAATGCTCAAGATCGTCTCTCTCTTCACTTGAGTTGGTTGTACATTCTTAAAGCAGTACGAGATTGTCTCCAAACATATAATAAAATGAACCGTTTGTGCGAGTGAGAGTGAGTGAGTGAGAGAGAGAGCGGGTGTTGCAATTTTCATTACTTTTTCATAATGCAACGCTTATGACGCTTTTCACTACACAGTGTATACACTCATTGTTGCAACTGCTCATACATATTTATTGCGTTACCGTTCTAACCTGCACCATTCTCACTTTGACACAGTGTATGATTTGAGTTGAGGTTTATGCTCTACATACCATTACCAGAGTGTATATTCCGTCGATATATAGAGAGCTAGAACGAGCAATAGTGTTTTCCATAAAAGCTGAACAATGTTTTAGGGGTAATTTATCTGATGAAGACATATTACTCCTTTTTGCGTTGTGCGTATATATTTACGCGTCCATATGTGACCAGAATACACACCAATTCAACATTTCCGTGCGCCACAATATCAATCCGTTCTGCAGCAAGCAACCAACAACATTTCCTATGTGTTTTACGAAACAAATAAATACATACACATTGCACAATTTCAACAATTTTGCCGTTTCTTTATCTCAAGACGCAACATATTGTGCACAAAGATTACTGCAAATGAATGTATCCGAAACCGCAATAAATGGAACATTTCTCAACAATTTCACTACGGTAAGGTATATGACACGTTAAAACGATAGTTAAGTTTTATGTGTTTATGATTCGTGGACGTGTGTATGTTCGGTTATGTCCTTTTTCGGTATGGACCCCGGTTCCGGCTGGTTTGAGATTTGTGTGCGCGTTTTCTTTTAGACTTCATTTTAAAAGACGAATAAAAACCTCGATTGCACACTGAAAACAGTGAAAGAGCATCAAGAATTTGCATTCATTCCCATTGAGGAAATTGTGGAGGATTGTATCATAAGAACTTCGCCAAAATGATATCCGTTGAACTTTTCGAATAGAGAGCTTAGCTTTTTGCATTCAAATTCAAAGCGACAATGATGAAACCAAGCGGTATCTGGTGGCACAACGGACGGAAACTACGTAAACCAATTGAAACTCACATAAATGAGGATGTCAACCGAAAAACACACACACATGCGATTATATTCAGTGCACTGCAACTGAATGCGACAATTTTCACTGTCAGCAAACGAGAAAAGTTTAATTAATTGCTTATTATTATTATTTTCGCAAAAATTTTCTACACTGATGAAGTTCGGTGCTCACCGTTTGATACAATTGTTGGCATTTCGTACACAAATTACTTCTACTTCGACACTGTTTGACTAAAAATCCACAAGCGCACACACACCCACACTCACACACACACACATATATATGTACACATACATTTTCACAACAAAATGCCATGTTGCTAAACATTTTTGGAATTAAAATGAAGAAGGTATGTTGCGTGTATGGTTATTTCAATGCAGACAATTCCAAAGTTTTGTGGCTTGAAAAATCAAATGAAAAGTTTCCCAAAATGTAAAATGGAAAATTTTGTGCATTTGATTAAAAACACACACATACAGAGGGAGTGAAAGAGCGAGAGAAAAGAAAATAAAGACAGACAGAGACGCATTCATTTACTTCTTCACTCACTTAAACGAGCTCACACGTACTGAATCGAAATCATCGCTGTCATCAGCAGCTCGCTAAATATACATGTACTTTTGTGAGCAAAAAAAAAACTTTGTCTTGCATTTACTTTTCGGAGAACTGAGAATGTTATGGCTGTGTGATCATGATTCATTTCTTCTATTTTTTGGATGCACAGATGTTAGATGGAGGATGTTGACAGATACACAGTTCATCTTGATCTGTATCATTCGTTTGTAATAGTTTTCATTTTGTGAAAATGTTCGCAATTGCATTTTCCCATCGAGTTCATGTGAACGCATTAAATTATATGTGTAACCCATCATCATTGCATACAATGTATATCGTACAATGTACATGAAACATTTATTATTTATATTTCATTTTTCTCTTTGTTTTCTTGCGCACCGTATTTGTATAATGTATGATAGAGTCTGAATGTTTATTGACTGATGTGTTGATTTTTTCGTTTTTTTTTTCCACCCCACAGTTAAAGTGTTTGGCAAGAATTCATGATATTTACGAGGAGTCAGCAGAACGGTCAGTTGAAGATGATACAACAAATGTCAATGTGATGGCTTCAGGTACATCAGCTCACAACATCAATTCGTATCAATCGTTTGATCATCCCCAAGACGGTGAGCCTAGCAGTGATGGACTTTATTTAACACATCAAACAAGTGGTAAGCGCCTTTTTTTTTCTCTTCTCACATGACATATCCGTTTACTATTTGACTGAACCCCATCTCATTTCACCATCGGCAACTTATTGCCTAAGACGAATTTACGGTAGAATTTTTGCTTATCGTTTGCGTATCGTATAAATAACAATTTCAAAAAGCACGTTTATTTCATTCACAAAGCAATTCAACACAACATTCAGGACAATAAATTCGAATAAATGTGAAGTTATACACACATATATACCACGCGAAATCATCATGCTATACCAAAAACCATATGAGCGACGACGAGCACAAACAAAAACAATTCACAAGAAAAATGACTTTCTGAGCTTTTGTTCGTACTCACTATTAATACTGTTTTTGGTTTTGTTGGTAAAATTTGATTCAATGCCTGCCCTGACTTCGAAAACCCGATGAAGAATAAGAAACACAGAGTGTTGAAAGCAAAACTTATTACCACTATACGCCGACTTATCGTTTTTAACACACATACAAGTGAACTGTGTACATTTATACCGTGCGGTGAATGCGATATGTACATGAAAGTTGCAATACGACCAAATTTATTCGCTGTCATTTGTTAAATTCGCCATTGCCAACGTTTGGGATTTTATTTCATTATTGTATGTTTGCTTCACTGTTCAAGCGCTTACGTACAACTCAGCCGAAAGAGAGAACAAGAAGAGAAGAAAAAAAAAGTGCACACATCTATATATAAAAAGGAGAATTTAATTTTGGCTTCTTTGTTGTGGCAAAGAAAAACGAAACGAATCATATAAACATTAAAACGTTTGATTGAATGCGCCACATGAACGCCAAACGTCACACAAATAAGGAACCATTGAACCATTCAACAATGCGAAAATCAAATAAGTTACGACAACTTACGAAAAAGGAATTTCGGCTATAATTTATCTGTTTCCTTCCGCGAAAATTTGTCTTCCATTGCATTGCAGAGGAAATGTTCTATCGTCTCGAACCCGACCGATTATAAAAAGTCGAGCATTATTTCGGTGTTTATTTCGGTTTTGTTTTCTTCTGTTTTTTTTTTATTTCGTTCGCTCCATCTCTCGCTATCTCTCGCTATCTCTCGCTCGCTCTTACTGTCTCGTTTCGCCGTTTGGAGACTTGCCCAATTCATATAAATTTCGAATAATCTCATGAATAAGACATATTTAAGCATTGAAAAATTACTCATTTGGGAGCACGTGCTGAGTGGTTCCAGGTTTGTGATCGTTATGGCTCTCTGTACATAACACATATTACAAAATATCTATACTATTGGAGGGAAAATGCGAACAAATACTTACGTTTAATGTGATATTATTAAATTGATATGAATGAAATGGCGAGCTGTAATTCGGACGGCGATCATGTATCTTTAAATATAACGATAAGAAATCCTGATAGCATCCCCTTTTTTCTTTTATTGAAAATCAATTTTATTCACCTATGTACATCCGACAACATAACGATTTTACACAATATTTAAGGATACATGTATTATTATTTTTTGAATTCTCATTTTGGTTACTTTTACAGCTACTTTTTTTCGAAAAATAAGTTTCAGTTAACGGAATTTCAGTCGCGCTCAGACGATTCAAGGAGGGGGGTTATGTATGCTCCCCTGTGCTCATGTATGCTTTAGTCTATATTTAAATGAACGCCGTTTTTTAAAATTATTTCAAAAATCGATTTTAGTGCTGTTCTAATTGAAATTCAATATTTAAAATGTTGAAATGTTCATGTAACGTTTTAAATTCCATTCGTCGAGTTCGATTTGAAAAATAAATGATTATTATTTATTCGATATAAGTCATGAAATCATATTTCACTTCATGTTTTCTGACTCCGGAACCGATCATTTAGAATATTAAAATTATGTTGTCACTATGTTCGGAAGTGTTAATGTATGAATATTGATAAACAATGCAAACTCAGTCAATGAATTAATCGTTAGCGTACGTGTTATAAATCGTTTCGACGAAAATCGATATTTTATGCATGTGCTTTCCGAAAAATTGTGGAACCATTAAATTATCCAACGTTTGGCCATAAATTCGAACAGTAGCAGTCGTACGAAATCTAGACTGTATCATAAAATTTAGCATGTTGTTATACCAAGTCCAATGGTTTTTCGCATTAATTAGCACGTTTACAAACAAAAAAAAATAACATCAACAAATAATTTATCATTGATGGAATTTTTATATATAATTTTATTTGAAGTATAAAGTTGCGCATTCCCCGATTATGGCAACTTAAGTGCGGTGGATGTTAACATACACTTGCATCATTAATAATCAAATGATTTTGAGCCGTTGATTATTTTCGATGTTCATTTTACGTTTTTGTGTACAAACAACGTATTAAATGGAATAAACTCAATAATTGAACCCCTACAGAAATCGATCATGCAAAAATACTTAACACAAACTCGAGAGGCCGATTGAAATATTTACATATCGAAGTAAATCATGCAAACAGACATTGCTTTTATCATTTGATACCAAATCCGAAACATAAATGTTTTATCGCGATGATTTTCCAACGCTAATGCACAAAATCTCGACTTATGTGATGATGAAAATGAAAAAAAAAAAATGAAAAGTATGAAATTAAAGTTATCTGCGTAAATTTATAGAGTAAAAATACTGTAGCTACTGAGTACAGAAAATATGCCATTCGCCAAAGTAGGTTGAAATTCACTTGATTTTAATCCTTAACCGGACAACTGAAAAGAGTTATACTATACTATTATACTATTGAGTAAATATAGTTTCATTTTTGTAAAAATTAAATGTAAACAGGTGAAATAAATAAGAAAATTTTCATTGATCTTTGCTAGCCTCGAACTACAAAAAAATCAATTATGGGATCACAAATGACGTTGCTTAGAGCTTCGTACGAAAATCTGAGTCATTGAAAATTTTGACGGAAAATTAACTTGCTGCGCCCTCACTGTTGCTATTCAACATAATATTTTTGTCAATTGTTTCTTATTTATTTCTCATGATGGCTTCTTTACAAAAAGATAACTAATACCCTAAAGTTTGAAGACTTGTGTTAATATTCCGACAATCACTACTTGCACATATCACTTTCATCTAAATAGCACATATTGCATTACTCCTTTTCCACTTAATTTTATGCTTATGAATCACTGCGTAGCTCTTTGAGTGGAGGAAAAAAGAGCACTTCATATGTTCGGATTAGAGTGTGAAAATGTCTGTGAAATTAATTAGTATCGCTCAGTCATAATGCAATCAGTGCAGTTGAATCTAATTATAATTTTATTTCCATCTTCTTAATTTCATAGTTCCTCAAACGTTTATTTAGTTATATGAGCTTTATTGCATCAAACGCTCAAATTAAAAGCATACTCTATGCAAAAAAAAAGTGACTAACACGAGGCGAGAAGGAATCTATTTTTCGTCGAATATTTTATTTTATTAGAATGCGTCGTATGGAAGAGAATGACATTATTATATATTGAAATTGTGCTTTTTATATTTAAAAGGTCCAATCAAACTTAATTTAAGCGATGGGAAACATAAATTTTAATATTTGAAAGCGAAGAGCTATTAAAGAGTAGTAAAAGAATTTCTTTGAGGTCAAGCATTTGATAGGTGGAGAAATGTGCTGCAGCATTTTTCAACAAACCTACATGTTTAAAAAAAGGGTAGATTTGCCATTCGGTAAACGTTTGATTTCATCTGAAAAACTAAACGTGATGATGAGCATCAGATATGTTGCAAGCATTGGCCATAAGCTCAAAAATGGTTCGTTTAATAAGTTGTTCAATCTCAATATTGTTTTTTCGTCTTCGTTGAAATCACACCATCACCGCACTTAATTCTTCTTTCAGGACCTTACTATATAATTTATTGCAACAGTATGTAAGTCAATGTTGTCTTGGCGAGATCTAAAGTTCTGTCGTTGAAATGCGCTTATATGGTTTGCTCCCGTTTGGAACTAACATTGATATATATTAAAAGAGCTGCTTAGCATCTAAATTATCATGTGTAACATGGCCTTTTGAACACCTTCACTTCAATAGAATCTCGTCACTATATCATAGTCATTGCGGTAATAGAACGATTTTGAATATTCTCCACATAAATCACGACCGTATACACCGCATTTGACTATATTTGCAAATAAAGGTCATTCATCTTAAATAACCGAGAGCTGAATAGATTTACTCTTTGATTGCGATTCAAATTGTACAAAAATATGAATGCTTTTTGCATATTTTCTTCGCAAAACCAATTATAATTGGAAATTCTCTTCTTCATTTTACAAAATGCACACTAATGATAGAAATTTTGGAGACGAGCGATGGAAATTTTTATTTGTTCAATTTTGTGTATATCGTTTTAACTGGCGAATTGCTAAGAAACCATATTCGATCAAAAGTGGAAATTTGAGAAATATTGCAATAATCAAAACTTTATTTCGAAATGCCCACTATGAGGCGTAGCATCCGCACAAAAGAAGAAAAAAAAATAAAATAAATATTAAAACTAGAACTATACCCAAACTTTAACACAATAGAGTAACACAGAAGAGCATCAACAAAAATAACGTGGGAAAAAGTTTTTCCATGTTCATGCGAATTGGTCAGGAAAGTAGCAATAAATTGTTTTCGATTTATATTCTGACCGTTTGGATTTATATAAACTTTTCCGTCGGTTATTCAGTTTCATTTCAAACGTAGTTTCTTTTTTTTTCTCTCTCTCTCTCTCTATCTCTCAAACTGTTATGTAACTTAATGTTTTCTATCGTTTGCTGGACATTTTATTCGCCGCCTACGTTTGTAAGAATTATTCTTTTTATAGAAGTTGTTTCTTGTGTTTTTCATTGACTACACTTCGATAAGTATAGCGTTCACCTTTCTTTTTACTTGATATAACTGTTTCTCAATTTCTCCACTGAGTTGGCAAACTCAAGAAACCTTCATGAACACAGAAACACACACACACACCCATACCTAGAATGAGATGCAATGAGAAGAATAAAAAAAAAACATAGTATGGCCGGATATCAGCTCACAATAACAAGGTGATCGGATGTGAACTTTTTTTGACTTTTTTATATTACATTGTTGTTGTCCCGTTCTTTCGATAATTCAGGTTCCAGTCCAATTTTTTTATTCAACTTTTTGTATCTCCAAGAGTAATTTTTCTGCTTATCTTTTCTCTATAAACTCACCTGTCAGAGTCCACAAATAAAAAAAAATTAAATCAAAAAGAAACTTTTTTTTTTCCTCCACGAATAATGGACGCCAACACATTAGTTCACCTTTTTCTATAAATTGATACGTTCGATATACCCCGAGTCTAAATGCAATATCGTCTTTATTCTTCTTCTCCATCCGATGTGTTTTTTTTTTCGCCTGCAATGAAAAGTTTGCGAAACTTTTTTATACAACTGAACGCACATTACAAAATGAAACCGGAGAAGGGAAAAAATAATGCAAAACTGCGTTCATTCACGACAAAATGTCTAGATGGTAGATATTTGGATGTTGTACAGGCTGATTATTGCTCAGTTTCGTTTTTTTAAGTGGAATATTTTTAATATCAATTAAGTTGAACCAACATGATATATTACAGACGCCAATTATTATACCGTTTTAAGGAATGACTTAACGAATGACACTGTTAAATTCACTCACATTTTAGACGCGCCATTTTTTATACATACAATTTATATACGAGAATATTTTATATATCACAAATAGTGAATTCATTTACTGTTGAACATTATATCGTTTACTTCTCGGTAATATTGAAACGAGCGAAAGCGTAATGTATCAAAGAAGGAAGGAAAAAACACGATGCATTCATGCATTGAATGAAGTACAAGCAAAGGTACTTAGATCTTACTTTGGATTGTACAGTTATGGATTAACTACATATTTCATATTAATAGAGATGTTCGGAACTCTTTCACACACATGTGTGTCGATTAGATTGCTTGTGCATTTTTGCTTTCAAATCTTTTTTTCTTCTCTCTCTCTGTGTCTCCCCCTCCCCCCTCTCTCCATTTCTATATCCTTGTTTTTCTTTCTTCGTGCATCTCTCTCTCTTGTCTCATCCAGACAACACTTTTCACTCTTCTAAAATGCACGCATACTAACTCGCGGCATAATAATTCATAGTTAAGATAAGACTTATGTGTATGTATAAATTTCCATTTCGTGTTGTCGCGCGCTGAAATAGGAAGTCGCCTTCGATGTGAATAAATGATGAAGATGCGATTTTCTGCACCAAGATCTCTGCGAGTGCGACACAAGAAACTATCCATTCATTTTATAGAAGACTATCTTTCTCCTCTTTCAATGTTGGTGTGTGTGTGTGTACGATATAATTTACTGTAAATGTGCTACAAACACTTTTATGCTTAAATGCTTAACCTCATTCATTCAATTGCTGTCATTTTCGAAAGGAAAATGAGAAAACTACGCGTGACTAGCGACTGAAAACACTCTGCGGTGGTACAGTAAAGCTGGAATGCTAAAGTCCTTTGGTCCCCATAATAACTTATATTTTATTTTTATATTGCCACACTTATTTTGAATTCATTTCATCCTAAGTGCTGAAACTGTAAACGTAACACACAAATATAATTCGTTTCTTTATGATCCATTCAATTTTTCTTCGTCTTCAATTCATTTGAAGCTGAAGCGTTGTTTTTTCTTTCTCTCTTCATCTTCGTCTTGAATAACTTTGTGATGTTTCGGAATCGCACAATTTGGCATTACTGTTCGTAATGTGGTTATTTTGTTTTGCATGTGCATATGAGCCAGTTTTACATACGTGGATTCGAGTGCATTAGATTTTCCACAATTCAAGTTGCATCTACCGAAATATACGTTGTCAATGCACGTTGGTAATATTGTTTATTCCAAAGCAATCACTAATGGTGGTGTGAGAAGCGATTTGAAGCGAATCTTCATTCGACAAAATCATGATGATTTTTGCTTACTCGATATGTAGACGGTTCAAAAAGAGTGTTTTTTCTTCTTCTTCTTCTTCTTCTTCTTCGTTTTCTCCATAATCATCGTCTTCGGTTCGAAATTACAACACTTGTGTCTCTCTTTCGGTGTGTTCTTATTCAAGAGCCAACACATTTTCAAACATTCAATTCACATCCGAACAGTTTCTTTTCACATCGAATGATTTATTCACCAGAGCGAGAAAAGAAAAGTCCTGGTTTTCCATCTTTTCAGAATACCGATAAATGGAAAATATGTAGCTCAAGTGTCTATGCAACCATAAAAATGGCGAATGAACATCGTATGATAGAGAGACAGAGAGATAGAAAGAGAGAGGGATGCTGTAATTTAGAATGCTGAACTAAACTGATGGGTTGCATTAAATGTTTGGAACATCAACCTTTGCGACTATGCGATGACACTATCTAAAAGTACATTTTCTATCTCATTTTACAGTGCAAAAAGTTTCATGTTTATTTTTGACTACTATTTTAAGGTGATTTTGATTTACTTCATTCGAAATGTTGATATCATCAAATGAAATTGCCAAAATGGAAAATTTGACATTAGTTGAGGAAAATAAATTCATGATCAGTGTTCGATTCACTGTCTATCCCATTCTGCAACCCGCGACCGAACCGTATAATGACACAATATTTTCTCTCGGTCGACTTTGAAAAGTTATTTTTGTACTTGTACGAGTTACTTCGCAATTAAGTACAGGCATTTAATTAATTGCGTTCCTGTAACAACCAGAAGCATAAGATCAACACGGAGACGGAGCACGCAGATATCGTTGCAAACCGAAAATTTAATTTTGTGATGCCATCAATTCGTTAAAATACATACATATATTTAAGAGATACTTAATCTCTGCCATTTTGAATATATGTTAAGCGCATTGTGCAATTACTTGATTTTCAAAATGATTTGTGATGTGTGATAGGGCTAATTAAAATTTAAACGCTTTTGAAAACAATCATGCACAATGCATAAATGCAAGAAGTTATTTTTTGGAGTCGCCTTTTTTTCCTCTCCGGCAATAACAACGTCATTTTGGGAAATTCTTTGTTAATTATACGTCTCTACAATTACAGTTTTGGTATCCGTGTGATGCTTTTACAGAATGCAATTCAATATAAAATTTGCCCGCGCACACAACGAAAAAAGACCGAAAAGCAGCTCATCGAGGAAGTAATGAATTCTATAATGCCCAGAAAATAGAGCCAAAGTATGAAGAAAGCACGAGAATGAATTTATACGCTACCAATTTTCGACAAAACACAAAAATAAACATAAAATCACTACAAACTTTTTGAACGAAATTCAAAGTCGAAATGGACGACGAAGAATGTGCACGCTATTCTATGCCATTTTGTTTTTCGTGTCAGAATAATGAGAACAACATAATTTGCAAATCACTTTTCCAACTTGCAACGGACAAAGATTGCGACAAATATTATGTCATGCTCAGTAATCAGCATAAAAGCGTAATTCAAACAGAGCGAAAAACCATAAAAAGATTCAAGCACTTTTAATGGCAAACTTTTAATTATGCCAAGAAATTTTCTCTTTGAAATTTTAAAAGATTCGCTACAACTAACGGCGACATATGGCTACAAAAAGTTTGCTCAACACCATTTTCCGGTGAACGAAGATATAAAAAAAGAAAATCACAAGATTTTCGTTCTGACTTAAGATGCTAAGTGTAGGATTTCCGACGGTTTTGCTTTATACATTTCACGTGACCTGAATACCGAATTTATTCCAATCAATTCTACCTGGTATTTTCAATTTTTAAAATATAAATCGAAATATTGAATTTGAATATCAAGTTTTCTACAAGTGCAACACAATTTAAGATGAATACTTTGGAATTTTCGAACCGTTTAATTGAGATGTGTAGGGAAAAAAACCGGAAGTCATTAAAACTTAACCATAATATTAGCTTTTTGTGTTGAGAATTCAAGGAAAAATGGCCTACTGGCCGACTGAGGTTGGTGAAACCATGAATTCACATTATTAATGACTCAATACTTGGAAAAGTTCATAGCTCAGCTAATGAATACCAGCTAAAGTACACTAGTCAACACTTGTCAGCTTTTTAAACGAAATTAAGAACAGAAACATCAACATTTCAAAGCCAGTGGAGAACGTCTCGCAGAGAGATCAATGGAAATAAACTTATTTTAACCCTCAACTGAACATGTTCGGGAATTCGAGATTTTTCTTTTTACGAAGGACAATTTTGAATTTATTTCGGAAAAACCTTTCAAAAATTCGATAAAAAAATATTTTTTTCAAAGATATGTAAAATAGGGATAAGGTGTTTAGCGTCTGAAAATGTGGTAAATACTGAATTGGATACAATTGAAATTGGATTGAAACGAACTGGCAGTTCTCGGATGTACATGATACTGTCGTTCATTATCTTTGAAAAGTCTTATGCGATTTAGGGATAACTTTTCTATTAGGTCAAGTATTTCGAAAAAAGAATGCATCTCAGTATGACTAGTCGAGATCTCGCAACTATATTATGCTGTCGTTTGCACAGGTCTAAGAAATAAGTTTGTTTTTAAACATAAATTCGTTTGTGACAACTTTTTGTATTTTATTTCTTTTTTTTTTCGTATCGAATCGTCAATTACTAGATTGTAGTTCTGCTATGCATACCGTAAATGCATTTTTAGATTTGCAATCTTGTGCGGAAATAAGACAAGTTGCCAATATATTTTGTTCGAATCAAAAACTTATTCGTTGAACATGGAATGCCGTTAATCAATGGAGTAGTAAATAGTTTTCCGGCATATTAAACTGGTTCAATCAATTGCCATGAATTGCAAAATTGACAAAAATTAAATCAATTGATAACATTGTTTGATGAAAATCCAATTCATTATTTATTTATTTTTGTGTGTGTGTATTTTCAGCTTCCGATTCATCATCAGCGCGAACAATAATGCTGACAACATCATATTTGAATGCGTTTATTATTTACGGTTCAATATTGTTGTCAATTGGATCTCTATTATCATTAAAATGGAATCATAATTCCTGATAACAACGACAGCATTTGCCAGCCACCCAACAGCCCGCATCAACCGAACAGCTCTATAACCAGCATGATAATTCTCAAATAATGCATACAAATGATTTAAGCGTTTGTTGAATATTGGAGACCGGCGGCTGCTAGGCGGGGCGGCGACGGTGTACAAGAAAAATGAGCCGTATCTTTATTGCAGAAAAGAATCTATGTCACACAGGATATATATTCAACAAATTAAATTAGTAAAACAAATTAAATGTCCAAAAAATGTAAGTTTCAAACCGAAGCTTGTCAAAAACATATGGCTATCTAGTGAAGTGCAGCGCTCGTATTATTCGGCGCGTTACCAAAATAAACACTTTAGTGAAGTTACAATTAATTTTAAAATAAATGTGAATGTTAAATGTTCGCTCACAATAACTTTACAAAATTAAATGAAATGTTGGAAATGTGAACGTTACTAAACAAAAAAATCAAAGTATATAGTAGATAAATATGGTAGCAAACAGAGTTGCACTTTTATCATGCTGTTGTTGCACACGTACAACGTGCATCGAAATGTAATCAATGTATACGGCACACACAGAGATATGGTGTGTGTTTGATGTCTATGGGGATGTACACAGTATGCACTACGACAGCAGGGAATAGAACAGCTTCACTTGCACACCATACTACTAACATTACAAGCAGATAAGCAAATCGATGTCTTCTAGCTCATTTTTCTAAAAAAAATAGAGCAACCAAATGGAAAGTAACATTTTAAAATTACATTTTTAAGAACTGTGTATAAGTATATTCATAAACATAGACTTTTAATGATAATGAATTGGCTTAATTTGATTAGTACTCTTACGAAAATGGATATTTCGACATTTGGTTTGCAGATGAAAATTAAAATCTCATTCATTTTAATAGTATTATCGTATGAAAATGAACAGCAAATTATTTACATAAAAAATATTGTTGTCGTTCAAAGAGCAAAAATTAAAAACTGCAGATTGTTGCTCTGAGCAGAAGTAATGATAAGAAGGCAAACGAGGGGGGGGCAATGCAATAGAAGAGCTTTTAACTCGATTTAAAAGAACACTGCCAAAAAGTAAGTCGACAGGTTCTTTCCAGAAATTCGGAGAAATGCGCGAAAATTCGTGAAAATTCAAACAAATTATTTCCACAAATGTCAATGAATTTCCTCGAATCTCACATTTTCCGAAAACTACTGAAAATTTTGTGAATTTGAAAAAAATACGAGATTTAAAACTGTAGCCCTCCCCTCATTTGCCTCCTAACCATTACTCCTACTTAAAGATACAGTTCCTGTTAAAAGCAAAAAAATGTGTAACCAAACATGTATATACTTGTCCGTAAAATACTCAAATAACTAAAACCATCATGCTCTCTTGCCCATTGATGGGGAACCTTTAAGGCTTTAACTTTTGAATCGGTGTGTATTCATCCATTTACGTGTATTCCAGTTTGAAAAATTAAAATACGCGCATTCCTGTTTGAAGCAAATTATTCAGGGCCTAAATTTTCGCATTTTCTGTGTGTGTGGGGAGGGGTGCAAATAACCCTTGCTAAAAAGCAAGGATAACAAATAATAATACGATTAAGGGACCTTTGACATTTCTTGTAGGGGCCGAGAGCGTGGATATGGGGATCATGAATATTGTTATAATCAAAAAGAGCCACCACGGCATACAATAACAAACAAATTTTATTGAAAAGCAGCTTAGAAGTTAGATGGTTTAGTTGATTTTTACGTTTTAATTCTGTTGAAATTCGTTTATAACTATTTTAAAACAAAACTTCAATTACAATGCAACATATGTACGACGCATGCTGGATCTAAGAAACATTTAACAGATACATATATACAATTTTAAAATCGAAACATCTTATTTCAACATTTAATGAATTGAACTTGATTGATGACATTCTTTACAACGATGCGATATTATTATCCGGCATCAATGACGGAGCATCACTGTGTACGCAGAAACAAATATTCGAGTATGCTTACTCGCACTTGCGATGTTAGCAGAGAGTCTACCCCTCAAAATGAGTAACGCACTCTATTTTACTCTCTTTTTTTTTTGTTAATTTCATCCATTGTGAATGCATTGTAGGGAAAGAAGAGATACATGTCATATGTACGTTGAACGCATGCGGCTATGACTACACGTGTATTTCTTCTTTCACTATGATGTGTTCACATGGATGAAATTAACACCAAAAATAGAGTAGAATAGAGTGCGTAACTCATTTTGAAGGGTAGACTCTCTGCTAATACCGTAAGTGGGAGTAACCGTACTCGAATATTTGAAATATTTGTTTCTGTGTACATGCTTCATTTATTGACATCAGCATATGTATATTGGTCAGAGTATACAATGAAATGGGATAAAATCAAACAGATTTTCAAGTGTGATTTAAACGATCTTTTTTGTCATGTGAAAGACCATTACGTACGATTCATATAGGTTACGCAATAATATGTGAATAACGACAACAATCCACAAAAGAATCGTATCGTTTGCATTACATTAAAACATCATCCATATATATATTGGATTATGTGTTTGTATTTAAATTAACACACTTAACGCAGATAATAATTATTATTAGCAATCATAAAAATCCGAATAAAATACATACAAAATGCTGGGCAGAGGAAAAAAAATAGATGTTAATTAACTGCGAAATGCATACATTAGCCTTGGTAAAGAATGCAGCATTTGACAATGCACATAACACAATGAGTATAACTATATATAAATGGCTTATAATGGAGAGAATTTTTAATGAAGCCTAAGCATTTTTATATGTGTTCAGTGAAAAATCATCCAATAATAAATAAACGCGCACAATAATACCAATATGCGCTGGGTGAATTACTCGTAATCTAGAGTTTTATGTCGTAAATCTAATAATTATATATAATTTATTTATGCAATGTGAATTCACTCTCATTAAATGACACGGTTGTAACAAAATCGAAACGTGTTGAGCTAACCATTTCCGGTTAAATGCTATAAGAATAACAGAAGCTAACACTCAATCATCGGATGGAGCTGGATAGCTTTTGCTCACAATAAATGAATTGTTAACTGAGTTTTCCTTCCGTCATTGCGAATGTTCTTTCGGGCACACGAACTGTATTAATGAGAATATTGAATGTTGCGTTAAAAAAAACTGGCATAAATAATAATAATCACACCAACCATAATACAATTTATATATACTTTTAAATACGGAAAATGTAATTCATAAATTAAATTAAAAGTATATAAAATAATGGACAAAACGAATCCAATATTACCACTGCAATCAATATACATAACCATTTATTGCCAGCAAAGTCAAATCAGGAGCATGAATAATCGACAAAAAAAAAAATAAGTGTTGTAAGTGCAAATAAAAAGGAAATAAATTAATCAGTAGTTAAAACGAATTTGATTTGTTTTTTCTTCACAATTAATTGTTTGGCCGTTTTCACAGGTGAGACACAGGTAGTATTTTGAACTGAAATAAAACTATTTTAATACTTGGTCAATATCGGCTGAATCACTTTTCCTGACCTCGGTTTCAAGGTGGTAAAAAATGTACGCGTTCGAACAAGTTTCGATGGGACGATGAATGATAATCATCTATCTGAAAGCCCTGTCTGACATGTTTCATACAAAGGGGACCTCACCGACGATTCGAAGGAATAGCTAGACAAAAAATTGTCTCCGTACATGAACTTTGAATTCTCCCGATTTTTGAGAATTCCTCCAATTTTCTGGAAGTAATTCCCTCCTCTTAAATCTTGAACATCATTTGGAACATAAGTTTCGCATATCTTCATAAATATGTATATATTTTCAAAAGAGTCTTTTGAAATATTGTTTCCTTATAAATTCCATATGAATCATAAGCTGATGTTTGCTTAGATTTTTTGCTTACTATATTTTGAAATGATATAACTAAGATTCACCCCACTAAAAACGTTGAAAAAAAAATTGCACAAGAATTCAAGACAGAATTGAAAATATGATAAATTAAAACAATACACTCTCCCTCCACCTCCTCGTCAAAATTCACATGTAGTTATGGGAGCTCATCATATCAAATCGATATAAGTAAGCAAACAAAAGCAACAACTATGATATTTTATTTTCGCAATAGTTTGAAGGGATAAATAATCCATTGCTGTCAAAAAATGAGCAAATTTATTCGTATTCTATGACACAAACGAAAATCAAAATGTACGGCAATAAATTCTCAATGACAACTAACTTCTCGAACGAAAAATAAAATGAGAGATGAGATGGTTGTCTGCGATTCGCCAAACATTATACAATTTGATAGAAAGAAAGAGCGAAACGCAGTTGTCTGACATTTTTTTCTCGCACTAACTTAATAATAATAATATATCACATTGACAAATGAAGAAGTTATATCTGAATAGTGGAATATTTATCAGCAATAAACGGAAACAACTGGCATAAATAGAGTGCGGGAGAGGGATGGTGAAAGTTTTTTTTTAATGAAATCGTATAAAAAAAAATTAGGTGTTTAAAGCCACCGTTAACTAAACTCGCACAGACTCGATGAAGACTGTACAAATGATTTTAATGAATCCACAATAAAAAAAAAGTTATGTCGATAAAGTCTTAAAATATTATGATGATGATGGTGATGACGTTGAAAAAGAAATTTCACGCGATAAAGTTTTTTTTTTCTGAATACATTATTTATATTATTTTCAATGACGCCGCTGTTCGAGACAAATGATGGCAGCTAATAAAACTATGAAATTTGAAGAAGACATCGGTCCCTTTAGATGCAAACTTTTAAAGTAGATGGGTGCTCAAGAAATATTTTCTCTAGAAGAATGCTACAATATATTTTTATTGGAAATCAACGCTACCATCGTACAGAAATTAATTCGATGAGAGCTCTCTAGGACAAAAATAAAGGAATCATTTTAATAGTATTCGAAGAAGAAGTAAGTATATTGACAACAGCATACACTTTTAAGAACAACAATAATACGTTGCGAAATGTAAATAAAGATGCAAAGATTTGACGCTTTAAAAATCACATAAAAATTGAAAATAAACATACAGTATATCTCGAACATCATATTCGGACTGTTTATCTTTCGTTGTGTGTTGAGTTTCAACCAGATAATTGAAAAATTATCACATAAATCTCTTATTCCATTAAACGGTTGAACATTTCCTTTTGACGAAGTGAAAATAAAACCGTTCATACAACATGTTAAAAGAAAGTTTGAAAATTTCGCGAAACTTTTCTTTGACGGGATGTACGGCCATTGAGTTTTGAAAAGATACTTCAACCGTATTTGATATTGGTACGTCAAAAAATTGTGTTCTAAGTAAAAATATTGATTTATATGGTTCATCTGTAAGCTACATCCATCATTTCAACTGTCATGAACAAACCAAAAAAAGGAAAAGTTTCTTTCGGTCAAACACCAAACCTCGTCTATGCGAGTTTTGCATACAAAAAGTGAGCGATGGGCGAAGGCCCGCCCGCGCTTATGTATGTGTATGCAAGATATGAAAAATAAAATTAAATTCAAATGTTTTCTACTTTTTAATATGCCAGTCTGACACACCGATATCAATTTGAGAAACGAAAATTGTTTCTATTTTCTTGCCATGGCCAGACCGAAGACTGAAAAGAAATGAAAAGAAAAAGTTATGATGAAAAATCAGAGAACATCAAACATGAAAAAGAATCAAACATGAACGCTTTGTTGTTGGTGCCTTTTTGGACATTGAATATATAATATTCGTTGCAGAAATAGAGATCAGAAACATAAAAGCAACCATTCTTTTTGCCCGATGTAATTTGAAGCTTTTGAATAGAAACAAAAGCAAATAAGCAAATAATAATGGGATACTTCGAACGAAATTCGCATGGTATTTGAAAAGGTTTTTTTGTTGTTGTTGTTGTTGACGGTGGTGTGAATACATTTCGATTTCTTATACACAAAAGAAATAAATCCAATTTTTCAGGAATTTCTTTTTATATAATTGAAAATAGATTTGAAACTGTTTGAGAATCATATTCGGACTTATTTCGAAGAAAAAATGCCTTCGGTCAAACATTCTTTGCTTCAACTTCGAGAACCGAACCCGCGGAAAAGATATTCAATGCCAAAAACAATAAAAATTATTATTGCCAACGAGAGCGTCGAGCATGAAATATCAAAATAATCAGAGACACATAAACAATGAATTCGCTTTTTATTCAATTCATAATGCTGGTAAGTACAAAAAAGACCGAAATGATTTAACAATTAAGTTTTATGATGAGTTCGACTTTTCACAGTCTTATATATTGTAACCAACTTCTGTATATTCTATCGAAGCACATTTTTCATCATAGATTGCAGGACAATGAACATTTCGCAAAAATATCGTTTCATATGCACAAGCAACTGATATACAAAATTGAATCCAATTTTTTCTCCATTTATTCGTGTGTTTTTGAGTGTGCAAATAGCAGTTATTTTAGGTTCTGTTCATTTTTTTGTGTTTTTTTTTCGTTATCCCCGTGTCTCTAATTATTCAATTTGTCTTAAATTATTTCGTTTAATACAAAACTGAATGGTAATATAAATTTTGTAGCACAATGTTAGCAGTCTGCTCAAAACGCCTATTGATTCGGAAGGGACTTTGTCATCAAACTTTTTTTGTTCACATTTTCGGCCGCGTCGCTTTCGAGCATTTTTTTTGCTTAAAAAATGATTTTATATTCAAAACAAGTGGACTACTAATTGGCACTGTACTCAAACAAAAAAAAGTCTTCAGTATATGAATTATTAATAGAGTGTTTCGGATATAGACTCCAAAACCAAATGATTTTCCCACCTTCGCTGAGCGGTATTATGAATTCCGATGAACAATTTATGAATAGATATTTATGTAACCCCATCGTATTGTAAGTGATTTTAGTGGAGAGTGTTTTACACCGAATTATACTTTGTACGATATTAAAATTTTAACACAACTGCTTTGACCATCAATCGGCATTAATAATCTCTTACGGAAGATTGAGAAGGAGAGAGTGAGAGAAAGATTAATAACATTTCAATTCACGCAAAAAAATCGTATGCATTCGTTTACCTGTGAAAAGTCGCGATCTATATAACACGAAGAAAGCGATGTTCAACCTTTTCAAACCAGTTACGACACATTTTCAATTAAACATGAACAGTACAATAGAAAGCTCTCTCGTGTAATTTTCGGTCTACTTGGAACGTCGAAAAGTATGCACCAACATTTTTAGCATAGCGAACGAGTTACAAAAATGCAAATTTCGAATGAAAAGCGAATCCACACAAAAAAAGAACTAGCAAATGGATTTCATGAAGACGTTTGTTTGATTTAAATCCTTCAAACAATGGATGCTTTATATGAACTACCTCCATTTATTCTACATTTACAAAAAATGGTAGCATTAAGCTTTTCGAATAGTGTATTGTATTCTTAATGTTGCCATTAGGTTATAAGTGGTCTCATACATTACTTACTTAAGCGACTAGCTCGATGCAATGAGCATTTTTTTTCAAGCGGTCTCGATTTGCAAAGCAAGCATTTTCGATAACATGACAGCCATTCAATATGAGGCGAACACGTCAGAATATCTGTTGAGAAATGCAAACGCAAAATGCGTAATACTCTAGCAATTGGAAACTATATTATGTGGATTGATCTCGGAACTTCATTCCTATCTACTCATTTATGGTATGTCAACAGAATATCAAACATTTTTGAACTATTCCATATGCGTCTGAAACACTGGGTAGAGATAACTTTGTTTTAATTTTACCGATTTTTTTGTTGTTGGCTCGAATGGACTGGAACGGTGCTTTTTTCATGAAGAAAAAAAAAAACAATTTTCGTATACCTACCAAAAGTTATCACGGTTTTTTATTATTGTTTTTATTCCATTCTTTTTATTACGATTATTTCGTATGATAAGTTAAATTCTTTTGATATTGCGATTACCATAAAATGAAAAAATAGGAATCATTTTAACGCCTATTTTAAATCATTACATTTTAATTTAAAAGTTTTGAACCATTTCAATGATGCATAGAAAAAAGCACAATAAAAACCAAGTCAATGCACAATTGATGTGCGTACGCATTTAAATAAATTCCCAGTTATTTATAACGACATAAAGTAGAGCATTCTGCCTCGACTGAATTACATGCGAGAGCATTTTACGTGTGCAAATCTGAATGTGAAACCAAAGCAAGCTATCATCATTGCGGATGAGAATGTTAGTGTGTTTGGTGTCATTTCACACGAAACACAGATTTTAAGGCCATAATACTGTGGCTTTAGCGTCTGTGCTCAAATATACACTTAATCTTGAGCACGATGTTAAAGGTGAACCCGCCAAAATGCTCTGTTTACACTCTAAATAACATCAAAAAACAAGAATCCTTACAAAGATATTTAATTCATAAGACGGGATTATCTGCAACCTTCCAAACAACACGTGAAAACATTTCATAAATTCTCATATGCACGTTTCACATTCTATAAGTATATATCTCGGGCGCAAAAAAACATTCTAAACAAAAAGGTGAGTATCATTTTGTGGATTATCTCAATGGAAAGTACTTTTTCATGTTGTGAAGAACACAATCGAACAAGGGATCACATCCAACTTTATATACTTTACTTTTACTTCATTTTCATTACAAGAAATACGAAAATAATCATTTTTTAATGTATCCATCTTTGCTTTTCTTTCTCCCTTTTTCTCTCTTCCGCTTTCTTGAATTTGACTGGAGTTTTCCTTTTTAGAATTGTCAATGAAATTTCATAGAATTTTTTACGGTAGAATGATTTTCACATTCAATTAACCATTATAAACTTTATAATATAGATAATAAAATGAATTTACAATTGATAAAATATGTTGAATGTGACAATTATTTTTGGATGAAAAATTGGGCAATTTACAGAAGAAATGATTAACATCGTTTTTTTTTTGCAAGTTGAAGTAATTTGATTCGATCATCTGTTCGTCGATCTGCTTTCCAGAGTGAAAAGATGTAGGTACAAATTTCACAATAAAAGGATTGAAACAAAAGAAATTCAAATCTGATCAAGTATATATATCAACCAACTATTCTCCTCACGAAATTGATATCAGAAATTTTACTTCGTCACTCGTTCTTCACTTCGAAAGAGATTTGTTATTTGATAATAAGCAATGTGAATAACTGGTGCTGAAAACATTAAGCGTGAATGGAAAAATATCGAACATGTGTAGATGTTCAATTAAATTTTGAATTTTAAGTCCGAATCTTTGAAATGAGCATCGGTCCACTGATCAAATTTTTCGAATCAGCGAATCCGCCGGTCTTTCCTTTACGAAAGAATCTGAAAAAATAAAATCAAAATCTCTCATCTGTTGTTTGCTCAATATGAATTTTGATGACAATTTTTCAATATTCGACTAATTACGTAGACATTTTTTATTTGGTATGGCGTAAAGTTTTTGCTAATTTTCGATTGAAGCATAGTCGAAAGCTGTTCAATTCATCTTCTTGGAACGTACATTTTAGAAATTCGGCGAATTCTTTTTAATCCACCGAGTTTTTCAGCTAATTGTTCCTCATAGCGTAAAAATAGAAAATTGTCCAAGTGGCCAAGTTGCCAATACGCAAGAATGTGGCCATTAAATGAATCAAACATGTCTCTGTTATTCAAACAGGTGTTAAAATATTCTTCAATGGTTCGCGAAAACCTTTCCATTTTGATGAACATGCGATACCTCGAAACAGCTACGTCTGTCATAAGTCGATTGGAGGTCAGTTGAATTAAACATATATTGAAGAAAATATAGCGTACTATAATATGAATAAATTTAGCAGTCTGATTTAACCGTTTACTAGAAGCAGATCTGCATTCAGAAGATTATTAAATATTAAATGCTCTAAACAGTTCTCAATGCAATCAAGATTCTTTATTTTTGACCGTTTCAAAAAACGAAAATCCCTTATTTAGAAGCGTAACTGAATTCTGTTTAAAGCAAGGCTCGCCAACATTAAAGAACTTTGGCACTGAAAAGTTACATTACTATCGATTCAACAGTGTTAAATGTGAAAGAGTACGTTCATTGTCATGAATTCTAGCGCTATTTTCACATTACCTTCATATTACAGAGTCTTAGTAAAAAAAATTGCGTATTTTTGTACACCTTTCCCCGCCTTCTCTCTTCTCTCATACTTGCCAATTGCCACTGTAGAATTCAGAGTTATACCCAATGTCAATGCGAATGCACAAAAAAATAACCAGTAGAGTGATTCTTGTTATCAGTCAACATTAAAAAAATATCTCTGGCGTATAAGCTTGTAAATGTATTACAAATTATGTGAGAGTACCTTTCTACAAAAAACGCATCCACTTGAATATTCACCGAAAAAAAGTGTTTTTTTTTTCACCTTCTATCTATCCAGGTGGCTATTAAATATTTATTTTGTTTTTACGAAATGACATAATATATGTGAATGTCGGCGACCTAGAAGAGGATTTTCTGAGCTAATATGGATTTATTTTTTTATTACAATTTATTAGAAAAAGACAAGAGAAAATCGTTATTTATGGAAAAGGGAAATGGAGTCATTTAATTTGGAGTTAATCACATTTTTTATATTTCTTTAAAAAAGAAGATGACACAAGAAATAAAAATTGTGCATGTTGTCATGATTATTATGTAGAAAATGCCGAACTATAACCCCACTATAAAACGACGAATAAACTCATACAATGAGATACATCCAGAGTAGAAAAAAAACAACAACATTTAGTCTTTATATCTGTATGCGGTTGATATTTGTAACCTCGAAACGGAAGATGTATCGTATGCAATGTATTATGTGAATGAGAGAATGTGGGTAATTTATTAGTTTGGCGCAGGACAATTTGTGTGCTCTGTCTAATGTGAATGTTTGAGCTTCAACGAGAATGTTTTATGCAACCGGCCACACAAATTATGCCATTAATTCATTTCGTCGTGAACAAAGATAAATTAAGGCTGGAAAAAAAGAGCTCAACACACATAGACACACAGAAAAAAAATTAAATAAAAATGAAAACGAAAGGCTGTAGAAAATATTTTTTGACCATATGGAAAATTCAAATGAAGAAACTACATCTCCGAATGAACTACATAGTATATTTTAAAGTATTATTATCAGTAAAGAGCAGCCATACACCAGTGCACCGGGATGTAATATGGTGGATGGTAGGTCCCGAGTGTTTCTGCAAGTTTCAAGTGGGACACACAGCATGTAAAGAATTGCCGCGCAAACAAAACTTCCACACGAAAACTATGACCGCCAGTTAGAGAAAATGGAACCATTCTCTTGTCTTCAAAAACTGTTTTAGCATTATGCAAAAACACAAAACACAGTTCAATTAACATTTCTGGAAAGAGCAAAATGAAAAACAGATATGAAAGAGAAAGACTATATGGTGGGAGAGTATGAAGCATTGAGTACAAAACACAACCGACCTGCTTCAATAAAAAAAACTACATTTTTATTCTCTGCGGATTCAAATTCTCTCCATTCATTCATTTTTTTATCACTATTTTTATTTAGGGAAATGTTCTTCCACTATAGTTTTTTTTGTAACACATTATGTGCGAGATAACAATAACATCGACGCTATTATTTGAAATGTTCTCGTATTTGTATTGCATTGTATTATGTAGAAATGCGATGGAGCGTTAAATTTGTTCAAAATGCAAATTAATGAAATGGCGCCGCATATCCTAACTCTGAACCGCGCGCATATGAACCGAAAAAAAAACCACCACCGCCACCGTTTTCTAGATTATATTAGTTGTTTTGGATAATGTATTTGCACATCATAACATCTAGTTCTTTGTGCTGTTTGTGTGTGCGTGTGTGTCGCGTCGATGAATTTATATCTTTTGATTTATGCGACGTCCTTTCATAATATAAATCATAATGTTAAATCTAAATTTTTAACACACATCGATTTTACATAGGAATATTTATTATTTTATTAATCGGATTAATACATTTTCATGAACAATGTTATGTCTCTTACTTTTTCATCAAAGTACTATTCTATTCAGGTTATTTTTTCTATTTTTATGTTTCATTGGATTCTTTTTTTATGGAATAAATGAATTAGCTTTTAAATTGCATTTTTGCGTCATTGTAGAAAGTGGAAAAATAAATGTCATCATGGAAATTTTTTTGCAAAAAAAAAAATACATATATGGATCGGATGCTGTCAATGCGGTCTCTTTACAATGGGTTGACGAATCCGATTTGTTTTTCGCGCTCAATGTGTAGGCGAGTCATTAAGTGGGCTCGTAACATGGTCACATTGTCAATGTCGGTGGCACAAAGTTGACAAATCACGGCTCTCGGCATCGTCATTGTCCTATTTGTAAGCAATAACAACAACAAAAAAAATGAATGCATTGGTAAATGTGCGAAAACCTTATAATTAATTGCAAGAAAAATGTGTCTTACATTTTGCGCAATTCGGTACAGTGTATTTTCAGTCGTTTCTTCATGGTGGTGTCTAATGTCATCAGACGCGGCAGACCATGTAATGGGAAAATTGACTTCAAACCATATATATTATTCGATTCTTTGAAGTCTGATTCGGCATATTCTTTCCATTCATGTGGTACACAATGTGTTTCGATTACTGTACGTTCCTTCGTCAACAAACTGCAAATCAAATGATATTCAAATTAATTTTCCGTATTTTACAACAAAATTATAACAATTAACGCACTTCAACGTAACTTCTTTCAGTTTTTTCATAACCTGAAGACGATTTTTGAACGAAACTTTATCAGACGATGACAACAATGTATCCAAATTGTATCGCATCTGATTTATCTGGTGAAAGAAAAAAAAATACCATCATAATATTTAATTCACACAGTTTATCGACATAATGGATTTTTTTTCTTACCATTTCCAGATCTTCCATTCCAAAATCGAAATCCAATTGGAAGACTGCATCATGTTCAGCGAAATATGGATGTTTTCGGTCGTCATTGTAACCAAGTCCAGTTCGCACTGATATGTATCGCGAATTCCATTGATCACGCTTCAAATCAGCTGCTGGGCAAAATACCATGGCCATTAGTGGTCCAAAGCCACGAATCGACGGCAGCAATGTTGTTTGATGAATGGTAAATTCCTTGTTGTTAGCGCTCTGCTGGCTAAGAGGTTAGAAAACGATTAGCGGCGATTAAAAGGTTTTTTTTTTGCATTGGAATGGGACTTAACATCCAGATCATTAGATCATTTTGTAAACTATCGAAATTAATACATGAGAATATCTACCTAACGTGCGAAGCAACCATATATTTAATCGATTGATCCTATAAAATTTGAAAAAAAAAAAAAATGCGAATGTTATAAAATGCATACATACGTTGATATTCACATACGTACCTGTTGCAATGAAGTGAGAAAAACACTGTTGACCGAATGCATGTCAATATTAACTGATCGTTTGCCGCTGTGCACCAAAGCCGAATGTAGTTCACTTTCCAATGGGCTTCTAGGCCCCTTCAAAATTACAAATCTTTCCAACATGCGATGATCGAGTTGCTTAATCGAATCACCTTCGATCATCGAGTAGTATTCATCACAGTCGACAAATTCAAGACATTCGGCATCGTGGCCTTCTTGATCGATTGCTTTTTGCAAATGTTGTCGTTTCCAATGATTGTTCTGAGAAAGAAAAAAAGACGTGAAAAAAAACGTCTTGAAATATCAGGAATGTATGTACCTTTGATAGAATGTTTTCCTCGCAGAATTCGCCGAATCCTTTACGAATCAGGACGTCGTTTAAGTTGATTCCTTTCGTCAAAATGTACACGCTTGCGATTCCATTTACGACGGAGTAAATCTGCAAAAGAGAAAGGATGAAATACACTGTCGTATTATGTAGGTTCAAATAGACTTTACTTTGGCTGTGACTTCACGTTCTGTAACAAAACTGTTGAATAAGTCAACCGTTGCGCGATCCCACATATTTCCACCGCTAATATTCGCCATCGATGGTTGAATTTCGGCCAATTTGCATTGGAAACAGCGTGCGGGGAATGTATCTTGTTCAGTTTGTGTTTTGATGAAAACGTACAAATCTGTCATTTGACACTTTTGTGTGCGACCAAAATCTATGAAACATACGGTGCATTTGAAGGTTTTTGTGAATGCATTGTAGTCCCAAGATATCAAGCGAGCGCGGTATAATTTTTTATCCTTGTGATCGCGGGCAACAATTATCTTGGCTTCAATGAGAGGTGTGTAGTCGGTGCACGACTGAATAATTGTTGTCAATTCTCTGTTATCATTCAGTTCGCGATAGAAATCTTCAATTCGTGGTCGCTCATTTTTCGGTTGGAACCAGAATTTCGTACAATTTTCAACCTATATTAAAACAGTAATGTGAGTCTTATTTTGTTTTGGAGTTGAATATCGAATCCGAATAATTTCTACTTACGTGGGTGATGGTGCCAATGATTTCTTTGACCTGTGTCTTGGGAATGCACAAATCCGAAATTTCATCACGAAGACTCTCTTTTGTCATGAAAGTCGATCCAACAACGAGACCAATTCCAAGCTCTTCGGCCACTGTCATTTCCTTCTCCGGCCTGAAAATAAGACAATCACATTTTCAATTGATCACTGTCAATTGGGTCGCATGTTGTACTTACTTCATCACATCGATTTTCATTGGCATATTCATTCGTCGCATTTTCACCGATTTGTAGACTTCGGTCAATGTTTTTCCTGGAATCGAGCAATGCTTTGTATCCCAATCGGTACGCATATCGACATCAATCAGCTGATCCATATCAAATGTAACAAAGATCTTTTCTGAATTCTTATCGATCGCAACTTTGACACGATTGATATCTTCTTCATCAACAACAGTGGTTCGGAACAGATTTCGAATCGAATCCACATACAGCTCGCGTATATGCTCTTTTGTAAATCCGGTGAAAAATACCGTATTATCTGGATCACGGCCATTTAATGTTCGCCAAGCTTCACGTTCAATCATCGGATTATTAATGGCTTCGGTGCCAAAGAAGTTTGGATAGAATGCACCAGCAATGACCACCTTTAGAATGATGCTTTTTTCTTGTTCAGACCAACGAACCCGATCGACGCTGGTGATTCGACGAATGCCAATTTTCTCCAGGCGCTGTGTCAATTCCTCGACCAATTGATGACATTCGCCCAAAGATCGAACATCCAAACAGTGTTTTTTGCAAAAATCACGTTCGGCTTGTTTTTGCTCATAATTTTTACCGAATACCTTTTGATCGTGCTTCAAACGCCAAATTCGGTATGCATTCAGAATTGCGAATAAATCACTACCCGAACCATTTGACCATTCCAATCGACGTGTGTATGAGGTCAAATCTCGTTCGAATAGGATTTTGAAAATACTTTTCGATGTTAGGCCAGCCGCTGCGAAATAAATATATTTTGAAATGTAATCTATGAGGGTGGAAAAACACTTTTTCTTACCCATTATGATGGCTTCTTCGAGAACACCGAAACAGTAGCCAAAAACAATGAGTCGGGCTGATCGGACATCAACCGGTAGATTCGACATGATTCGTCCTAATGGTTCAATTCAATGATATCAATTTATAAAAAAAAATCAGAAAATTTTGCATCAAATCCATTGGTATGCTTACCAAGATTTGTCAAGTCGCCATCAATGGGTGAGAACCCTTCTTCTCGAATAGTCAAATGTAACGCGCCCAATTCTTTCAATGTCAAAACGGTATTGGCCACATCGTCCAGATTGGGTCGGTCCATTGCCATGCCCAGAATAATATGTGGTGCTTCCATGTCGAAAGTCTTTGCTTTTAATACAATATGCTCAAGTGGTGACAACAGCATTTCGGGTATCGGTGATTTTTTCATGAAAACCTGGTTCAATTTCATGGTATCAATTTTGGAAATTCGAATATTTTTACATTAAATCCAACTTACTTCATAGAATTTTCGTGAAATCAAACGATAACAGCGACCATTTGCCGTGCGACCAGCGCGCCCAGCTCGTTGTTTGCAATTGTTCTTCGATGCCCAATCCATTTCGAGCATTGTGAAATTTTTCGATGAATCACTTTTCAGATATTTCATAAGACAGAAATCAATAACTGTAATGATACAACAAAGATGATTGTTTGTTACATTTTTAGTCTATGAGATCTTTGTTCTCTTTATAAATGGTTTATGTGATTTACCAAATTTGACATGTGGAACGGTGATTGAGCTCTCGGCGATATTCGTTGACAAAATGATTTTACGAACTCCTGGTTCAACGGGCTCGAATATCGATTGTTGTTCTTCGGTACTGATCAAAGAGTGCAAAATAAAAATTCGCCACTCGGTTTCTCTAAAAACACAAACCAATCAACTGTAAAATTATAATAATTGTGTGTATGTTTGTACATCTTACGCTTCAGGGCAATCCATTAATAAGGTGCGAAAACGGCCAATTTCATAGATGCCCGGCAAGAAAATCAGCACAGCTGATAAATGGATCTCCGGATCCTTATCGATATTTTTCAGATTTCTTACAAGCATCTGTGCAATCTTATACATTCCATCGCTGATGCCCGGTTGTTTGAAATTTAACTCAGGCATCTGTTTTCGTAAAAAGAAAATGTTATATCGTCAAATTCCAAACGTTTAACGGTAAATGTTTGTTATCTCATATTTACATACAATGTCCCTGTTGAAGTCATCGGCATAAAATTCCTTCACGGTGTATATGCTCTGCTTGTCGACTTTTATGATCGGAGCTGGAATCCAGTGATTGAATTTGTAAAAACGGAAATATTCAGCAAACTGCAACAAAAAAAAAATATCCGTTATCCCATTTTCAATACTTTTTCGAAATCGAGTTGAGAAATTACTTTCTCCGTGTCAATTGTGGCCGACATCAAAATGACTCGAACATTTGTAGCTTCTTTTGCCCATAGCATCCGTATAATGATGAACAGAAAATCCATATCTTTGTCGCGCTCATGCACCTCGTCAAGTACGATGTGTGTGTATGGTGCCAACGTTTTCATTTGAATCAATTTTTCCAAAAGAACGCCTGTTGTGCAGTACAAAATCCGTGTGTCTTCGGAAACAAAACGTTTGTCCAAACCAATCTATTTTCATCGAACAGAAAAGAAATACGAAAATTATGTTGGATGTCAATTTATAGGTTATGACCAGTATACTACAATGATGAATCAGTTGCAATGATGTTGAAACAAATCGACTGAATTACCTGGTATCCAACTAGTTTTCCCAGTTCCCATCCGCGTTCATCAGCAACTCGTTCGGCAAGACTTCTTGCAGCAATGCGTCGCGGTTGTGTGACAATAATGTTGCACGCCTTCTGATTATTTCGCGCTTCATCAAGAATCATTTGTGGTATCTAGAAATTATCAGGCATGAAATGACATTATATTTCGTCAAAATGCTAAATAACTATTTGCAATTACCTGCGTGCTCTTACCACAGCCTGTGGACCTGATAAAATCCAAAAAATAAACATTAAATTCAAGTCAGTGATATAAATACAATGTGTGTATACCCTTCAATAACAACGCTCGGATACTCGGCGATTTTCTCGAGAATTTTCGTCTTTGAAGCCCATACCGGTAAATGTGTTGCATCTTGTGATCGTTGTTCGAACTTGTATCGTGAGTAAACTTCATCATTCTGCGCCTCTTCACAATCAGTCAACGCGGCACTCGGTTGCAATGTTATTTTGATGGAATCTTCGACTTTTTTGCGAATCAATTGAATGTCATCTTCCAATGCATCTTTTTCGCTTTCTTGCAAACACTTGGCACTTTCTGACGGATTTGTAACAGCAATACGTCCATTTGTTAAGCCTCCCGAAATTCTAATCGGCTTGAATGGCTTATTTTTATTGAACATTATGTCCATAAAATCCATTTTGCAATATGGATTTTTTCCTTTGTTTCGATATTTATAAATAAAAAAAGAGTTCACCAGAAATTGCTGTTTATAGCGCGAAAGACAGTTCGTGAATAAGTCTTGAACGAAAGAAACAAATGGTACGTGTAAACTAATGAAAAGTCACAACTGAAATGAGACAAGCACAGTGCTTAGCACACACACACACTTCATGCGAAAACACAGCACTGACTTTGCCATTTATGCAAAAGAATGGAAGCAAAAGAGATGCGAGATTTGTGTGCAGTGTCGCTTCGTACGGCCAGAACGCGACAACAACAAAACTACACTTACATACGTCTTGGTTGAAAAACCACACTGTAAAACGTTTGTGTGCTATGCCGATCATCACGTCAGCCACAAACATCCAGACTGACGAACAATGAACGAAAAGAACAAAAAAATGTACCGTTGACCATTACAATGTGCGCATACATTTCTCAATTTTGAGACTCAAAAATTTATTTATAATGTAATAATCTTGATTTGATGTGTCGTTCGCCAAATAACGAAAATTATGATTATTTATATTGTTTATTTACTGTCTTGTAAACGCCAACATTTCCATTTTGTTGTTTGTTGAATTTAATTGGAATTGAAAGTTGATACAAAACACTAACCTACAACACAGAACAATATCATGTATCGTTTGGTTATGCGGCTGTACGGCTGTTCGGCTGTTCGGCTCTCTGTACAGAGCTCACAAATAAATAATCGCAATAAAAATAAAACATTTCGAATGCAAACATTCACACAAAATGAACATGCGAAACAAGCGTGTGAACTAGCATCCGAGTCAAAAGGGAACAAACAAAATATCACATTGAAATGGCGTGCGTTGAAAAAGCGACAAATATTTTCGGTTGAAGGCAAAATGGTAGAGAGTGTGTGACACAATTGGAATGGGGGCACACAAGAAATTTTGAGCTGTGAACAACACACTGGGTGTGCCGTGCCTTCCAGTTAAAATGTTCGAAAATTGAGAAAAAGAGAGATTTTTTTCCGCTATTCATGGCCTTTCCTCGATTTTTTTTTTTAAATGTGAAAATATGTCACCCTGTATCGTGTATCCAAAATACAAATGAAAAACATTATGCGATCTGGTCTTTGCATTAGCATTAGCATTTACAGAGAGAAACATTTGAATGTGACAGAATATTCTTGGTTGTAATGTTGTTTAAATTTATGCACACAGCGTAGCAGAGAAACAACAATCTTCATATTCCTTAAATCAATGTCGATATTCCACATACAATATTTCAGCTAGCTGTATAGTTTCGAATAGCGCCTCTTTTCTTGTGGCACAACGCAGATGTTGTTGAAAGAAAAAAAACACAGGCGATTTACTTCAGGGAGATCGGGAAAACGGAGAGAGACTGAGAGGGAGCGCAAAGAGCGGGACGTAATGAAGAGAGAGAGAGAGAGAGAGAAAGAGGAAGGGAGAGTCTCTGTACAAAACTGTATATGAATGCAAAATTGTGCTATGCAAATCCATTTTGGATTATCGAAATCGACAAAAGCGTTAAATAACCAGAAAACCATGCGATGTAATTTTTCATTTCTTCTTCGGTCTAACACCATAAAATCTATGTGTTTTGATTTAAAACAATGCGAAAACTTTTAAAACTTAATATGAAACAATTTCATTGAGTCAATATATGCATGAACGGTGAAATATGAGCGCATTGGGCGAATAGCCATTCGTAAAATCATGTTTTGATGTCCTAAATGCAGTGCAAACCTAAATTATTTACTCGAAACGTATTGCAGGCAACCGAAATACACACACACATACACGCTATGTCAAACTAGCCCATTTTCTATGAAACTATCTAAAATTTAATTAAAACTGGCAACCGACAACCAAATAGCAAACGCTGGAGTATTTAGAAATCTCTACTTTGTGTTTTAGTACAATTTAATGCGTTAATATTTTACCCAACTGATGTTGGAGACAGTTAATGCATTGAAAATACATGACATCGGTCGTTTTTTTTGCTCTCCATTCAATTCATTTGTTTCGATTTTTTAATATGGCAAACAGAAACTTGTGCAAATTTAATTTAATATTATATATTTGCTTAACATTTTCCCAAATAATAATATTATCCACAGCTGAGAAAAGTTCATTCTGACACCGGAAGAAAAAATTTGAAAAAAAAAAAAAATCTAATATATTTGATTACGATTGTGATTTGCTTTCGAACACTATTTGAAAATGTCCTTATATTTATGCTAGTATTTATGGAACCGATTAACAAGTGTGAGTGACATAAATTGTAATTTAAATAAATTGCGGAACACCAATATTGCATTTCACAAGCGGAGAAAATAGATTTTAATAGCACCGTAACCGTGGAAAAGTTGAAATGACCGAAAATTTATAGCCATGACTATGTCGTTTCTCTCATTATTATTGAAGTTAACATTAACATACGTACAGCATACATTTTGTACATAAATCCTGCACATCTACTACTATTGTGCTATGTTTATTTCATTTTGCAACTGATATGTTTGCTTCTGTTACACGGTACGCATTTAAAATGACTTCAGACAATCAGTCAGTCCATCTGGATATTAAAGTGGTGGCTCTGGAAGCAGCACTTGGATTTTTGAATTGTTAATACTAAATTTGGCATAAAATACGGTGTGGTTGATCGGATTAACAAGTGACCCAAATGCTTTGAACTATGCAATTTATTGATATTGCATGCATTTGAATCAAAACACCAATGTTGAAAATTTTCGGTAAATAATCACGATGATGGCATCCAATGAACTGGACATTCAAAATTCAAAAGGACACTACTGATCCTGCATTCAGCCTTTTTATTAGAATTACATGAAATAATTATATTGAAACATCATGTTTTTTTTAATAATAGCTATGACATGGTGTAACCCGGCTAAATTAATATGGAAAAAAATCCTCTGCAGTGATTGAAATACGAGCTATAGTAATATTACTAAATGTAAAAACTATATATATATATCCTTACGGTTCAGTGGAATTGGATGCAAAGATCTCAATGTCATTACCAGACAATATATTTAGCTGCCGTCATCTGGATATTTCAGCTCATCTGGATGCCGTCAGCAGATGATGCGAAGTGAAAACAATAGAAGTGATTGTTATAGTAATACCAGTATATAACAAGCTTATATACCTATAACAATCACTTCTATTGTTTTCACTTTGTATCATCTGCTGACGATATCCAGATGAGCTTTAATATCCAGATGACGACTGCTAAATATATTGTCTGGTCATTACCTTCAGGTGAAATTACATATGAAAATATTTGTAATGGCCACTGGAGCGTTTGGTTTTATTAATTATATTTTACTACTCGTATTCCCAGATAGGTGAATATTTTGTTTGCACATTTTTTTCAAAATTTGTGCAATCTCAAATTTGTTCAATTATAAATCGCATTTAATAACTGCCTTTGATAAAGCAATGTTTCTGTTTGGGCTAAAAACCCTTCGAATTTGCAATCGAATATTGGCAAAATGTAGAAATATAATAAAATTTAATTGCATCGTCACGAATGTGGACTCATGTACAATTGTACATACATAAAAATCGATTTTTGATGAAATCAACAAATCGAACATAAACGTTTTGTGAATTTTTTTTTTGTTTCAAGCCGAAGCAGAATTTTTGTTCGGCGAAACATAGCTGAATATAAAAGTAATTAAAGTTCAAATTGTTGTTACATAAGACAAGGGCAATGATGTCAACAATTGATACACCAGCAAAAGTATTCATGTATTTTTTTACTCCCTTTGTTCGTGTGTATGCTGAAAAAGTACGTTTCATCGACTGGTAAAAATGGATTATCCGAGTGTAGACACTTCATTAATGTATTCATATAATCTCACGTCTCAATCGGAGAGAGACAAAAATATGCAATGTGTAAAACCAATCTGCAGCTCATTTAATCGATATCAGATTGAACAATCGATACAATGTAGCGTCATCCATATATATTGTCATTTTGTTTATTTCTAGCGTGCTATGTGTTTTAGGTGCGCGATTGAAATTCATGATATGTCGATTTTCCATATGCCATTGCACAACTAAAAATTACCTAAAATCCAGATTAAATACATCTCTACATCTTTCATTGGTTTTATTGTGATGGGCGGTAAAACAACTTTTATATGAAATGGTATAACATTCGATTCGTTTCCTTATTACGGTTTGATATACAGAGGGACCAAAAAATATATGCCAAATTGAAAGAGTTTTATTTTTTTTTGTTCCAAAACAATTTCAAATAAAGTATCAAATAAATGTTCAATCGAAAAAAAGCGAATGAATACAATCAGACATATGGTTGTTCAATAAGCATCATTTAAATATTTCTACGGGATTAAAAAAATCTACTTGCTCTACTATATAATTCGTACAATTTGATGCAAAAAAAAGTACATACACAGCTACGTGAAAATGTTATATTTGACTGGCGTTCACCAGACAAACCAGACGATTCATCGTTTAAAGATGCACATTATGGGAATAAAACAATGCTCTGGATGCATCGGCAACATTTATTCAATCCAATTGTGAATCGGCGAAAAGCAACCCCATTTCGTTCTGTCTATCTTTTCATGCACAGTTTCTCGTCGTAATTAAATGTTTACCGCATTCTTTTTTTTGCCTCTTTTTTCTCTCATCAATTTCCCAGTTGTGGTGCACATGAACTGTTTGCAATTGTTGCCTTCACCAAACTTCCGTCTTCTGCTCTCATAATATTTGTTGTTCATTTTCGGATCAACATGCTTGTGTGTTAAGTTTAATGTGAAGACATTTCCGTGGAGTCATTTTGATTTCTTGCCAATGCTTAAAACTTTTCACATGCGAGTCGATTTGGAATCTGTTTAAACATTTTTCCTGCAAAAGAATGTTAACGGTTCTTTTTTTAAAAAACACCAAAAAAAATATTCAAGCTAAATTTTATCGAATTATGGTACAAATGCCAGACGTGCATACTATACGCATATTTTTCGATGAAATTTATTGCTTAAATGTATTTTAATTTGATTCTATTTTCGCGATTGACAAAAACATGTCAATGACTTGCGCCGGAATGATTCAACGAAGATGGAATTCAGCAATATTCACTCATTCTTAATATTGACATTATTTTTAGCATAGGATAGAGGAACAGAGAGAGAGAGACAGAGAGAGAGAGAGAGAGAGAGAGGGAGAGAGAGATAGCGAAAGAGAGAAAGAGGCGAAAAAAGATTGGGGAGTGGGATAGATGGGTAGATGAAAAAGTGGCAATATTGAACATTCATTGATTTTCGAAGATACTTAACCATCTAATATGTACTTTTTCTTCCGTTTTTATTCTTTGACACTTTCCAGATTTTCTCCAATTTAAACAAGCATTATTCATGAAACAACCTGTTCAACCTTCCTTTTAAACTGATTTCCTTTAATTTAATTTTCTCGGAAATTGCGTAAAACGTTGAAGAGAGAGAGAGAGAGAGAGAGAGAGAGAGAGAGAGAGAGAGAGAGAAAGGAGGCGAGAGGAACAAAGTTGAAGACGAGCAAAACGTGCATGTACTCTGCGATGTACAGTGCCAGAAAATGTATTGAAAAGTCTCGAAAAGAACAAAAAAAAATTGAGCGAGTTTCCACTTCAAGCAATGAGTGAAAACTTTTTCCAAATTTTTACACTCTCGTATTTTCGTACAACTTTTCATTGGCAATGGGTTGGTTTGCATTACGTCGCTTCGATAAATATTTTTTATGCTAATAATTTTTTCCCTCATTCTTCACATCACGTCGTTCAACGCTGTCGCTTATCTGTCAGTATTATCAAGTGATGACCATGGATTGAACGACCTCTTTAACATTCAAATCAATCAAAAAAAAAATCCGAGAAGATGAAAAACGAAAAACGGTCAACTATAAGTGTCACTTGCCAGCTTTTGCAACAAGACTTGCTGCTGAACAAGTTTTTCATAATGCAAATCACACAAAACCACAATACAGCAACACGCGGTTGGCAAACGCGTCGAAATTCGTATTTTCACTTGTTTTTATTCCCAACTCATTCATATTATTTTTCTTTCGAGATTTGTTTCTCCCTCTCGCTCTCGTTCACGCTCTCTAGTTCCCTTCGGAGGCGATAGGTTTTGACCATTTGAACCATACCCAAGAATTTTTTTTTCTTCATTCTGTTTAGCATTTCCTCTTTTTCAGCCTTTGCATCATTTCGAATTTGATTATCATTTTCCACCACAAAACTTATTCATTGAAAATGAACATGAGGCAACAAAAAGAGAAAGCACATCAATGACATTTTTCTTTATTTCTTTTATTATTTTGTTCATTTCACCAGGCTTTCAGTTCAAAGAGAGAAAATATTTTTGTCGTCGCCTCAATGAAAATTATTTCTGGAATGCCATTCAGATTTTCCGCTTTCTTTTATAATTTTTCATTTTATGTGGTGATTTGAATGGGAATTTCCGTATTCGGATTAAAGGATTTATATTCATAAATGTATGCTGAAATTGATGAAGTATTTTTCAGAAGAAATAAAAACGGAAAATTGTACAAAAATCGGAAATGTGCAAAGAGAGCACGGAAAAAGGAAACCATAATCTAAACGGTTTTACACGATTCTAAAGCGTACGCTAAAACATTCATTTGATATTAGTTTACACATCGCTCTCTCTCTCTGTGCTTGTCTGTCTTTTGCTCTCTCTCTCTTGTTATTTCACTAAATCATTCCAATTTTAAGAGAAAAAGAAATCGTCCGTGTAGTTGAAGTATAATTGAATTGTAAGAAAGAATAGTATCTTGGGTTATATTTTTCCTGTGCAAACACAAAACGAAAATAATGAGGCTGGGTCGCTGTTAGTTTTGATATTTAACCATAACAATTTCAGATAGTAAATGTGTACGTGTGTACAATCACAGTAACATTCACGATTTTCGTACCTTTTATTTCTGGAATTTGTTCAATTAAAATATTTGCACCGTACCAACAATTTTCTTCGGGTGACTGGTGTGCCACAAGAGAAATAAAATGCCCGTGATTGTGTGCACACACATATTTTCTTGTCTCATGCGTTCGCGCGTAAAACAATTCAACGCTATTCTGAATATGTATTTATTCTTTTTTTTTCTACTCTCTCCCTCTTCTTCGTTCTCATACTCGCGTTCGCTCTTCTTTGCTATCTTCGCTATCTTCTCCATGTAATGTTCCTCATGAACTTCTCATATTGCATTTGGTCTGGCAAAAGATACGGAATAGTTGAATACATTTGAATTTGAGAAACATGATAGAAAAAAAATATCCAAATTAACTGTCGAGGCTGCATTCTCAAAATCGCTCACGCTGAAGTAATTGCTTCGTCCTTTTACAATTTACGATCAGAAACGCCGGAGAAGCGTTCAGATAAAACAATTGCATTTGCTATGTATATTTGTGCACATATTTACACTGGTTGTTTTCATTTTTATTGTAAGCCACTTTCGCTGCGGGTAAAGTGTGTGTGTGTGTGTTCTAGGGGCTTTCATCATTCGTTCATACAAATTTATACACAATATTCACGTCCTATTCATCATATATACGATTAAAATTTCTCGCCTATACCAGTGAATAAGATGTATTTCAAACTTCAGTGTACACACACACACAGTATTGCTACACAGAATCGAAGAAGATCCGCACAAAAGAGAACAAAAAAACATGCCATAGACGAAATATATACGAAATATACACGAAATATACACCAAATATATGCAGTTATGCACATTTATTTGCGCGTATTACAGATGATTTTGCAATATAGTTCACTATTTAGAGTATAAATCGTATACATTTGAAGATAAAAGCCCCTAGTGTGTGTTGTAGCCAATAGTTGACAAACGCTTGTATAACGCTCGAACAAAAATGTTGAAAATCTTTGGAATGTCATCCGTTTTTATTAAACTTTGAACTTTATGATTTCTCATAAAGACTTTAGATTCACACTGAGCGAAAGATGTGAAAGAAATGTCCGAACTCAAGCAAAAGATGTGACGGAAACGTCCAATTATGTCAGTCAATTTTATATTAAGAAATATATGTGCAAACATTCTTTTTATTCGTCATATTAAGAATTGGCCACAATATCAATTCGATCAGGCGACACACTACATTCACGTTCAAAGAGTCGTTCAATGATATTCAAATATTTCGCTATGCAAGCGTTGTATCTAAATCAAAAGTACATAACCACAAAAATTATGTTCCGAGTGACACTCTTTGCATATCTGCTCGCATTTGTATGTATTTGTAAAAGTGTCTGTGTAAATAATTATCATGAATACATGCCGAATAGGATAGGCCAACAAGTGATTTTTCTCTCGCTCTCGACAGACCGATAAAGAATAACGGAAACAAAGAAGAAATGCAAAACATCGTACGATTCAAGCGCCTACATATACACACATGCAGACAAAATATAAAACACGCTCACCAACATGGACCACAGCATCTACCACACTCTTTCTCTCTATCTCTTTCCCTGTCTCTCTCCCATTGTATCTCTTTCACATCCCATTTTTTGTTCGTTGCTTTTGCATGTACGAAATGGTTAAGATGAACAAAATGAACTGCACCTGATTTTTTGTGCCGACTTTTGATACAAAGATCTATAACTTTGAATCAAATTTTCAGTGTAGCATAATCTGCCAGTAATCGGTGATTTCCATCTAGAGTTTTTATTTTTTGCAAGGGAAAGAAAACAAATCTGGTTTGAATTGCTGTAACATATTTTGTTTTTATAAGTTTTTGATTACGTATTGTTTGTCAAACATTGTAAATTTTTGTGACAAAAAATGCAACAAACAAATATAGTTTAATTTTTTGTGTGTTTTGTGTGGCCACTGTATTGTGATTGTGTATCGTTTGTTCTGACGCAAAAGTAAGTTATTGTTTAAAAAATGTTCAAATGCTGCGAAAATGTTTTGCGGCAACAAATTTTTATGTGCGGATCAAAATGATGTAGAAAAACACGTGTTTCGGCGGCGCATTTGCAAACTCATTTTGCTAATGTAATTGTATTTAAGTGGATTATTTCGTATTCATACAATGGCATCGATAACACGATAGTGAACGAAAATGCTTTATCGACAAATGATTGGTGCACACACCAAGAGTGGTCCGGTGTGGTGCGTTGCAGTGTGAGTGTGTATTGGTTTTCACGATTCCCTGAAAACCATGTGGATTTCTGCAGAAACGCGTGCTTTCTTCATATACCATTTTGTGACGACGTGCGAAACACACTTGCGTTTCCAAGAAATCTATTTCAAATAAATTGAAAAGAGACAAAAAACAGAGTGCACATTTTAACCAACTTAGCCAGCAGAATACGAATTTTTCGGCCGAAATTTTTCAATCGGTGATTATTAATATAACAACTTCTCGAAGAGTACGAACGCAAATAAGACTTTCTCCGACAGACCGATCGAAAAATCGATTTAGTTTTTTTTTCTCGTTCAGTCATTTTGATCCATTAATTTGTTCATTTACAGACCATTAATACGAGTTTTTAACTATTTTTAAGTTAAATTTGCTTTTAACATTAAATAATAGTTTTTCGGTGGTTTTTCACATTGAATAACGCGAAATTTTATTGATTACTGTTGAACAGAAACCATTTTTTTTACTTGAGTTTTTTTTTTCATTTTTTTTTTCTTCCGGTGTGATTTGAACATTTATTGTTAAAGAGTTTTCTGGAGAAAATCAATTAAAATAACATCAATTAAATAGACGCTGAAATGGGTCCCGACGGAAATAATGTAAGTATCGTTAATTTTTGTTGTTTAATTTACCGAAAATCCACATGGTGTGGAGGTGAAAACAGTTTTTGTTGGTGTGCTCAGTTTGGAGAGAGAATAAAACTGCGCACTACATTTAACATCTAAAACAATGTGGCTGAATGAGGGTCATTGACTTTGTTACCAATGTTATGACCTTTTTCGGTGACTTTTTGTTTTAAATCGAACTGAATTTTCGTGTAAAATTTCATAAAATTGTCATAATCGATTGCAATTCTTTCGATTGTTAAGTGGGCAATATGATTTATTGTGCATTTACATAGGTATGTGTCATGTGGTATAACTTTAATTTTAAACGTTCACAACTACCGACTCTGTATTTCGAAGCGTTACCGTTGCATTTTTTTGCTTTTGAGTTCGTTGAACTCCGAACTATTTTGCACCAAAAAGACACACACATACACACACACACTTGATTTTTCACATCGAATGAAAACACATTCCTGTTATGCGCAAAATATTTCCAATTAAATTTTGTGCTGTTCAAATCGCACATAAATTCCAATCAAAGCAAGATGTTCGGTACAGAAACAAAAAAAATCTTTTTTTATGATTGTTTTTTTTTCTCTTCTTTTTCTGACGCAATAAAAACTGATAAATGTCTCTGTGAGAGTCTGCATAGTTTTCACGGATAATTTTAAATTGAAAAGTCGAAATTTATGGTCGATATCGGCACGTGTGAAATCATAATTTATTGGAAAACCTTTTCAATTTTATGTGATGCCTTTAATTTCATTTCATTTTTCTTTTGTCGGTTGGTTTGCTGCTCTTTTTTTCTGCCATCAAACACAGAACTTGCTTAATAATTTAATGTACCGTAATGTGCGGCAGTCAAGTGAGAGCCAAAGCGAAGCCTCGTCATCGGCTGAAAGCGATTGGAGCGATATTAACAGTATCGCTGCACAAATGGGCTTGCATCCAAAGGATTTGTGCGTCGAACGGTTTAAGGTTGATCGAAATAAGCTGGAGACTCTGATCAAGGGTAATGTATTACACTCATTTTATATTCATTCGTCTTTATCGGAATTATTATTTTATTATGTCATATTATATTCTATACCGGTACCATATTCGAGTATTACGCATTAATACAATCAATACAACATTAATTTTCCGCACAGATGCATCGCCGACCGAGGGCATGAATGCTGCCGAATGTTTTTTTGATAATGTAAGTTTTTTTTTTGATGTTTTTTCTGTTCGATTCGAATTGATTGGATTAATATATATAAAAAAAAGAAATGTTGTCACTAAATGACCAAGGAGTTACGTATCCTTCGGGCATTTTCAAATTTATAGAGAATTTTTTTCTACAATGTTCATATGTTGTAAATGACTGACTTTTTCTTCTTTTGCCATGATTTTCAACCGATTCAAGAAAATATTTCATATAATTTTTACAAATAAAGTGTTAATATTTTCTCGACACGAATGAACGAAAAAAAAAAATTCAATCAGGTTATCAAAATGACTGGGACTCGCATCAGCTGGCCATGCCGCTTGAAAATTGGTGCAAAAACGAAGAAAGGTATGGACCACAATATTGAATAAGAAAAATAGTACAACATGATAAAATGCTGTTATTCACAGATCCACATGTGCGCATCGTTGGAAAAAACTCGGACGTCATGAAAGCCAAAGAGCAAATTTTGAACCGGTTGGACTCTCGTGTGAGTACAATTGTACAATGCTATATTGTATAGTGCCTGCAATCGAAGTGCACATCATTACTTACATTTTTCTATTCTCGTTGTCGTCGTCGTTGTCGCCGTTGTTGTCGCAACACAATCACAGGGCTGTCGTGTAATCATGAAAATGGATATTTCGTACACTGACCATTCATATATAATTGGACGTTGTGGTAACAATATTAAGAAGATCATGGAAGACACAATGACTCATATTCATTTTCCTGATTCGAATCGTTCGAGCCAAACGGAAAAAAGTAATCAGGTATCGTTATGTGGTAGCTTGGAAGGCGTTGAAAAAGCACGCGCATTAGTTCGTGTAAGTTGATATATTGAGAATTCGTTGCTGTTATTTGTTCGTGGCCGAAAATCCAATTAACGCAAAACTTTTTTGATTATAATAATTGATGAATTTGTAGTTGTCGACACCGTTGATTATATCGTATGAATTACCGATGAGCGTTCCTGGTCATCCAATTCCGGATAATAATACTGAATACGTTAAGGAAGCCGAAGCCACTTACAATGTTCAAGTGAAATTTTCATCGCGTCCCAAGTTGAACTCATCGGTTGTGGTTAAGGGAAGCGAAAAGGAAGCTGAAAAGGTCCAAGACGCCGCCCGTCAATTATGTTTATATATGTGTGGAAATGTAAGTACGACTTTTCTTACCGAATAAGAAAGATCTTTTTAACTTTCAATGCGAAAAATAGTTTTTCCCATAATTCAGTTGCATGCTGCAGTTTGAATTTTAACCCGGATATTTTTGGTGGTTAAGATGTGTTTAATTTTTCTAATTTAAATTCGAATTCACGTTTTTGTCTAGTGAAAACTTTTTTTTGTTGAACAAGAAACGAAGACATTTTTTTTTAAATCGAAAATTTTCCATTGCAGCCCCAAATTCAGGTCAATTTGCAGCTGCGAATTTCACCACAACATCATGACATCGTTAAAGGCAAACATAACGTTGAAGTCCGAAGAATAATGGAATATACGAACACAAAGGTTTGTACACAATGGAGGTCGTTATGGTACACAGAACCTGTTTCAAAGAGCAAAGCCAATGCTTGTGCGGTGTCAGTGCATAAGCTGTGTGTGTTTCTTATTATTCCAATAATTGTTAGACTTTAGTTTTCGTCCTTTCACATTTATTCTTCAAAGAATGTCGTTGCCTCCATTTTATAATAGTACAATCATTATTCCGTTGTGACACAACAGATTTCATTTGATTTTTGAGCGAAGAAACACACACGAGTAAATCAGATGGGCTAAATAAAAACCATTACTCTTCATTCAAATAACACCAACGAAAACGAGAAAAAATAATAATTTCCATTTCGTCCATTCATAATGAAATAAAACAAAGAGGCATTTAAAATGTGCTGTTCAACTTTTCTTCTCTTGATATTGAGTCGACCTTAATTTGTGTTCCGCTCTGTTGCTTTTGCGCAACGAGAGAAAAAAAATATATTCGTGTTGTTTTTCTATATTTTTAGTGATATGAAATAAAATTTTATTTCAGATAATATTTCCGGACTTGAGTGACGCAAACATAAAGCAGATAGAAAAATCTCTTGTGACTATCACGGGTACCATTGATGGCGTTTACAGAGCCAGACAACAGCTCATTGTAAGTGCAACGTTCCTTTTTTTATACTTGTAAAAATGCATTTCAAAACAAAAACCAAAGAAAAAAGAATCCGAAGAATACAAGCTGTATCAGCATTTATACGTATACGTATTTCAATCGCTGGCGGTACCACCAGTGCAATAGCAATTGCGCTTGAAAAATGGCATAAAAACAACAACAACAACAACAAAAAATGTAAAACAAAATGAGAAGCAATATAATTGCAATGAGCAATGAATAAACACGTTGTACCACATTTGAAATAAACACACACAGGCGTACACACAATGAAATAATTGTCTCGTAAATGATACGAATTTACACCACGCAATTCGGTTTTGGGTTGTTGTTGCTTTTTTTTATTTCCCATTTTTTTTTTTGTGTTGTTCACATTCATTTTTGCTTCAATCCGGTGTGTGTGCAGACAATCGTATCGTTACGTTGTCGTTGCTTTGTCACTTCACTTGGTTTTCACATTGTTGTTTTTGTTCTTGTGCTTGCATTTATTATTGGAATCATTTTTTTCCCCTTCTCTCTTTCTCTCTCTCACTCCTCTCCAGTGAATGAAATGGCCCCAAACATCCTGCATTGCATTCATAACGAATGCATTTAATGCCCGTCGTTTATGTGTAAATCAAAATGTCTGTCACTCACACAACCAAAAACTTTGTATGCAATTTCTTTTTGTATTCTGTGTGCTGCTGCTGCTGATGCTATTTTTTGTGTTCGGGTGGCTTTTGTTTTTGTTGTATTTCTTTGGAAAATTGTAGCCAATTTATTTATAGCTTCTGTTTAAGTTGTTGTGTTTTTTTTCATCGTTTCGTTGTTGTAATCATGTCATTTGTATTGGTTTTGTAAACAGGGTAATTTGCCGGTGGCTCTGATATTTGATTATCCGGAAAATTCGGTTAAACAAGAGGACATTAATGCGCTCATGGAACAATTTGGAGTTTTCATTGCGGCCCGTCACAAACAACGACAAAGTACTTTGTGCATTGTCATAAAAGGAATCGAGAAATACGTCGGTAATCTCTTGAATAAGATTAATTTCATTATTTTTTTTTTATTCGTTCGTTCGTTCACGTTTTGCTCATTTTTGATATTCATCATTTTAATTACATTCTTTAAATCGTGCTTTTTTGTTGGAATGTTTTTTTTTTATCTTCTTAATTTCTAGGTAAAATCTACGAGGCTCGCCACAAACTTTTAAATTTACCAAAAAGCTCTATTGTGGAAGCCGAAATACCAGCCACGTACTATTCGTCGGCCGAACCGGAGTACAATACATCGGCTTTGGTTGAAATTTTATCAAGTGTTCCAAATAGCCCTCTGACACCTGGCGGCTTACTACAAAATTTCACACCGACCTTTCCAAATCCATCATTTCACAATCAACTTAATCGAGTTCCCGATTTTGCCAGCTTGACACCGGAAAATCTACGCTTTCATGCACTGCAACAACAAGCACTTCAACAACAAGTGAACGGTCAAAATATTGCGACACATCTTGGTTTAAGTGTTAATCCATCTTATTCACCGGCTCATGCAAGTGTTTCGCCACGGTCTTCAAGCACCAAAACTAGCGGATATCATTCGAATAAATTCTTTAATATCAGCGGCAGCGCTAATTCACTTGAACAATTGTATCCACCATACAAACCAAGCATTCAAATAAACGGCAATGGTGTTAATCACTTTCCGCATTCAGATAATCAAATATTTGTGGGCAATTCGACGAATTTAACACGCCAAGCAAATGTTTCGAATGAAAGCAGCAATCATCCATTCGAAATGGAAAATCGACTGTTGACACCTAGCTATCACTCGGTGCGTATTTTCTTTATTTTTTTCAGACATTAGGCTCGAGCTATGCATATAGCGGCTGCTATTTTATAGGTGCTATTCATAGGCGCTATTTAATTTGTGTGCTGTGTTTAACACCGAGTAGGAATATCATAGCCTACTATTCTTTTGTACATTTGAATGTGAGTACGAGAGAGATGTAGAAAATAACACACAATATGCATAAATGCATTAAAACGAGATAAATAGCGCCTATGAATAGCAGCTATGAAATGGCAGCCGCTATATCTATAGCTCAAACCTAATGTCTGATTTTTTTATTGATTTATTTATTTCCTGTCTCGCTGGAATTGACGGATGAGAATGAGGGGACAAATAAAGAAGGAGATAGTTTTTAATGATTTCCCTCCTTCTAATTTTATGTAGCCAAGATCATTGGAATTCGAGAGACAACGCATTGAAGGACTAAAGGCCATCGATCGTTTCGATCTAAATAGAGAACAAGTTCGAATACCAACCGATGCATGGGCTAAGTTTTCTCTAAGTAAAACGTCACCGTTTGCATTGGAATCAGCGTCAGCGGGTGTATCACAATGGGCTCACCGTGAAAAGCTCCATTTTGATAAAGCTGCTACCACCGGTCTCATCGACAGTGTGCCATGGAATGATCGCGTACCATTGTCTCAGTTCAAAGACATGCACTCTCTTTTAAGCCACTTAAAACTCGAGCATTACATCAGTATGTATTTACATCGTAAAATCAAAAACGACAAAAAATTATTAAATATAACACATTTTCACTTTCAATTAGGTAATTTTGTGGTCGAAAAAATTGATATCAAGATGTTTGCAACGTTGACGGGAGAAGATTTACTTGAGCTGAATATCAATGCGTTGGGTCCGCGAAAGAAGCTGCTATTGGCAATAAAACAACTAAAGGCCGAGACGCAGCCATCACCGCCGTCTAGCGAATGGGTTCAATTATCAGATTTCAAAGATATTCCGTCATTATTCACACATTTGGAAATGAAACATCACATTGGTAAGCATTTTTTTTCGAGTTTCATTTTCAAATTGAAGCAGAACAGTGATAACTAAAAGTTTTGTCATTTTAAATTGAACAGAGAATTTCTTGCAAAATGAAATCGATATGAAAACATTCCTAACACTGACCACCCATGAATTGGCCGAACTTGGTGTTAAATCATTTATTGAGAGAAAACGACTACTAATGGCCATCAATCAATTGAAATCGGAACGATTCGCTGGTTCGGCAGCGCCTGGTGCCGAACGTCGATCAAGCGCCGGATTAATACCCGAGCCCAAGTTATTCCACATTTCCTAGATTTATAGATATTTAAATAATGTACAAAGTACAAAATCAAAAGTACAAAAAGAGTACAAAAAGAGTACAACAGCCAATGCATACAACAAATTTTTAATTAATCGAAGAGAAAAGTAGAACTTTTTTTTTGTTAAACAATTTATCAATCATCATATTAAAATCGAAAGACCATGTGGATATGATGAGATACAATTACGAATATAAAATAGGTTGAAATGTGCATGCATGAGTTGCGGTTTATTTTTGTATATTTTCAAATAATTTCGTTTGCAAAACAAACGATTTTTAACATCACTAAATATGAATATATTTTTTTCATACACTATTGTATAGCGCACGGGTCAGATATATATATATATGAAAAGTTTAAAAACGATTATTTTTATTTAAATTTGAACAATTTTTCGCATACATGCACACACACATATTTTAAATGAGTAAATAAAAATCAAATTCACATGGATAATAAATTATTTTGTCGACAGTTAACCGAAAAGGAGAGAAATTAATATAAATCGCAATTAAACCGCAAAAAATAATTATTATAATGAGAAATTCGATCAACGACAATCCACTTCGAAAAGAAAGCAGCAACAAAAACAAATACAAAATTACAATATACATATATATACATATATTGATAAAAAATAATAACAAAAATCCTTTAATGAAAATGAGGTATCTCAAATGGATGATAGGCAAACATATTAATTCATAAAGACACGTATTGTTTGATGCGAAAAATAGCACATTTTTAATTTGAAAAAAATAGCATGAAAAGTAACAAAAAAGAAAATTTAACGCAAAACAATGTATGCAATGAGCTGGCTCTACAACATATTTCTCTCACTCTCTACAAATTGATAACAATTCATTACACACTGCATGTTTAATTATTGTAAATAATGTTTTCTACATTATTCATTGTAATCATAATTCTTTCACCTATAAAAAAGCACAATTTCAATTTCCGATTTTCAATTATCAAAATATTGTTTGAAAAAAAAAACACCTTTAAAAACAGATACACAAACATTGAAAAGCATGTAAATAATTAAAAATAAATCACTTAGAAGAAAATATTCCGCACAAAATTGTAATTATAATTAAATACGAATTATTTACATAATTAAACATTTTCATTACAAAATTAGACTTATTCATAATTACACACTTGCAAAAGAACAAAAGAGCATATGATGATTTGTTGGGTCTCGCCAACTATAGATTACTACATAGAACACCGAATAGAAAAACAAATATCATTCAAGTCCTAAAACACGGGGGCGACAATTTTGAAGAAGAAATGTGTTGAAATGCAAAATGCAAAAATTCAAATTTTAATGAAATCAACGCAAAAACTGCGATAAATCACATGGCATTGTTGGAATTGTTGAATGGAATGCAATAAAAATTTAAAAGCGCCAGCCAATTCACGTTCTTGCCAAGTGAATTGTAGATTCAAATAAATCGATCAATACTAAAGTAATTGCCATTTGGAATGGTTCGCATCTCTTTTTTCTCTCGCCATGTTGAATTAAGCGGGTATATGGCACAGCACAGCACATGAATTTACCCGAGTGTCAATTAAAAAATCAATCATCTTATCGGGATTAATTGAATTACAAACGTACAAATATTCGGAAAACTCCCGCACGTGTGACCAATAAAAAACAATTAAAACTGTTTGTTTTGTAATGAATGAACTAAAAAAAAAGAAAATGTACGCATGTAAATCGTCATGTACACTTTTTCAAAACAAAAATGATTCCATTAACTTTCGTATCGATTTTGAATTCGATTGAATTTTTCCTTTTCAATTTACGACTTTTTTACGATTAATCTTGATTGCAACAAACGAATACGGTAATTTAGTTATTCATTGACAATTGATACGCATCGCATTCATGCCGTTTAATAATCACTAAAGTGTTTTTTTTTTTGCAGACAAAGTTACGGAATTTTTTAACCGTGTTACTTTGTAATAAATGACCAACATATAAAGAATATGGAAAATAAAGTTAGAAGATTTAATCAGTTGGCAGATATATTTTCAAAAATGTTAATAAAATATAGTTTTAAGAAAATAAATTGCTGAAAATAAGTGAGCTTGACAAATTATCATTTTAAAGAAAATTTAAGCAGATTTTAATCGTTCATTAAAATTATCAATAAGATAAAGTGATAAAGTAGACGACATATTCTCTTCGTTATTGATCCTTAATAATACGAATTTGAATCTGTTAGTGCATAACATATTTTACGATTTTATTCACATTGAATAGATTTCTGGTGTATATTTTTATAAAATGGACATTGTTTGAAAAAGGAAATAGATAAATCAGTCAATTTTTGAAGCATAACTTTTCACCGATGTCTTTTTTTAATAAAAACTACAGCTTTCTATTACCAAAAAAATGGTTTAAAAACGAAGCAAAATATGTATATATTAAGCTAGCAAGCACAATGAAATAATGGAAGAACGAAAAAAACATCCCGACGCAAAAAATGCAATAAATCACATAATGTGGCAAAATGTAATAAAAGTTTTGAATTGCAAAACGATTCACGCACTCGCAGAGAGCAAATGGTAAAATCGATCAATATCAAAGTAATTGCTATTTTAAACGATTCGCATCCATACTGTGCCTACGTATATTTTTAACAATTTACCGGCGTGTCAATTAAAAAATCAATCATTCTTATCGAGTTTAATTGAATTACAAAAAAACAAATGTTCACGTTGGCACTTCAGTAGAAAAAACAATCAAAACAGTTTGTTTTTCAATAATGAAAAAATATTCATCGCGATGAAAGATATTATTATTTTTCTAAAATCTTTTAAACATATTGAATGTGAATAAAAAACATGAATAACAAAATTTACAAAGCATTTTTTTAATAATAAATAAAGGTGCTAATTTATACATATAAATAAAATTTTCTAACAGTGTGTGTTTCAATGAAAATTGCATAGCAAACATGTTTTAACATAAATCATATTAAGCCTGTCTACAACAAAAAACACACGTATTTGATCATTTCAAATAGTGGAACCATATCGTCCAAAAAAAAATGCTGTTAGCAATGAAGCGAAATTGTTGCATAGACACATTGCACTGACGGAGAAAAATTGTTTGTATGGCATGTGGACATTTGTATCATTATTCATCAGGTATTTGCATAGTGGAAAAGTTTAAGCGCGTCGATTTGATCTTAACATGGCATTTTTTCTTTATATTCATCATACATTTTATATGTTTTTATAGACATGTCGGTATTTTACAGTTTGCGAGTTCTTTATTGAAAAATTTATTGGCCAAAAAAATGTTCACATTCTATACATGCCATGAATGGTTTTAATCTGATCGGATAATTGTAAAGTTTTTTTCGGTCATTTGGAGCAAATAGAAAGAGAAAGACGGAGAGAAAGAGAGAGACTCGTTGTGATAACAGAAATAACAGAAATCAATTTCATCCAAATTTGATGATAAGTTTTCAAATGAAAATTTTCCGCATCATATGTTTTAACAACTAAATTGCATCCACTTGCCTGTTGGCATCATTCCCAATAGAATTACAATCATTAGTACATGGCATATAGAATATTAAGGGTCCATTGACCCCATTCACTGGCGTTTATCTAGATTTTTTCATCTGAATAGCAACTATTGACTTGGCAAAAGTCAACTTTGAACTTGAGTGCATGATATGTGTTTGAAAATTATAGAAATAGATTTGCTAATGGTGTTTTACTTTAAAATTTAAATACATACTGGTCTTATATGCTTGTCTCTCGATGTTTTTTTTTTTCTGTCGTTTTAACCCTAACAACTTAATGAAAATTATATTTGAACAAATTGATTAAGTACGGACGGTCTGTGAGTTCGACGTGAAATTGCCGCTCATACAGCTGTGGTAAATCTTAAGGATTTTGTGTGTGTCTATGTGTATTTTTTCTACTCTCACATTTCGGTTGGCTCACAGTGAATTTCATTTTTATAGCCGTCACACAATTCAACTAGATAGAAACCGTACGTGATATTCCGGAAAAAAGGGAAAAGACCTTAAATAAATAGAACGATGGTGAAGGAAACGGAGATACCGAACTTCGATCAATATTTGGACAATAATCTGTGGCTGCTGTGGGTGCTTCATTTCGCACCATTTGGTTGATAATATTCATCAAAAGAAAAACAATCATATAGAAACCGGTACCGCTCAAAAATTTCATTGCTCTGCAACATTTTCGAGATGTTACTCTATCGAAACGTGACACATGAAACGACCGAAAACTATCCGACAATTTTCCAATGTTTTTGAAAAAATATGTTCGTTCATTACCAGTAATCATGGCAAACAATATTGGTCGCTGGAAAAAAAAAATTAGTCGATATATGCACAAATAATTTTCGTTTCAATTGAAACGCACAAAACATGCAAGTATGTATGTTTTAATCAAAAATGAAGTTATTCTTCATTTGGATATAAAGAATTACATTTTCTTTGCACCATCCTAAAATCATATAAGTTTTATGATTCGGAAATTTATTCAGATAAATCCGCAACATTGAATGTTTATGCAAGAAGTACGGTCAAACACTAGTCGTAGTCGCACGGAAAATGGTTTTCCTCCTCTTTCGGTATCGTTTCACCAACATCGGATTTTTATGATATTCCAATATCATTCCAATGCCATTTCCACTGGAAGCGCTTTAGAATGGGGACGGTCGGCGATATTTTTCCGTGCATTTTCCAAAGCTCGGAAAATTTTGCAAAAAAAGAAATACTGAATAAATTGAAATCGAATAAGAAGAGGTAGAAATTTGAAAATAAATTTACAATTATGCAGGTTTCTGCGCAACGGAAAAATTATTTGTGTAAATTTTCAAAAAGACTTTTTTCTAGAACTACTTATAAACTGTAAGCGGCTTTTGATAGTACGAATATGATATGAAAAATGTCTCAAAGATTGAACAATTAAACGACTGACGAATTTCTGAAAACTAAAGCTTAGATTGCACCGTTTGAATAAAATGTCGTAAACATAATTGAAAGAGTTTTCAAGCTCTTTTTGAACTAAAAAATAAATAGGATTTTTTGCTTTAAAGTGATATTGCTTGCTTTAATTAGAGGTAATGTGATATTGCCTGAAAAACCGTTTGTTTCGAATCCCTGCTAAATGTAAGTTTCTATACCTTGACCGATTAATCTCAAGTTGAAAGTCTTAAGTCACTTTATATAAATAGAAAACTGTCCATTTGTCATATGTTCAACATTTTGTGGTGGAATATCATTGGAATGAGAAATTTTACCATTTCAAAAAGCGGATTGATACTTTTTATTCTTGTTGTGTACGTTTCAGACTCTATAACTTTTGCTGTACTGTTTGATGTGTATGTATGCTTTTGCTGAATTTTGTATTTTGTGTTGAATGCGTAAAAGAAATACCGCTTTGCTATTGACGAATTGTACACAATTTATCGAGCCATAAGCAATGAAAGCTACAAAGCTATATTTACACCTATTCCATATGGATGACGATTTCATTTTAAATTTAAATTAATAAAACTCCAAATATATAGTGCAGACTTTTGTACCGCAATAAGGTGTTTGGATTTATATTGAGAACACAATACTTCCTTTGTCGTTCATCGTATGGGGTGTTGAATGTCAAACTAAAATGCAAGATATCGTTTGTCATTGTTTGGTTTTGAGGTGGTGGACAATTTAAGGTAGAAGTGAATTTGTTTTTGTTCGCACAGCGATTTGCATTTATATGATGTTGGCCGGGGACACTTACAATTTTCACACTTTGTTTGAAATGGTTAAAAGTTTTGATGTCTCAAAAGAATAATACAAAATGGTAAATACTGAATGAACAGTGACACCGTAAATCGTATTTTCTATTCGATTTTCAATTCGGCATGCCAATGGTTTCCTTCTTTTTAATTTGTTTCGTTGACTGGCCGTTTCTCTTTGCACTTTGAATATGTATTTACTGCACCGAGAAAGTTTATTTCTAAATATATTTCGTATTTTCTTTCATTTTCAGTTTATGTCTTTCAATTCATTTCATGAAGAAAAGTTGAAGTGCAACAAGCCATAACTCAATCAGTTGCAAATGTATTGATAACTCACAAATCACAAGCAACAACAACAAAAAAAAAGAATCCGATGCAACGAAGAAATAATATTTTCATATCTATAAATGCATTTTCAATTTTGTGTGACATAGTGCGGAGTTAAACGAGCAGAAGATTTAATCAAAAGTGAAGAGGAAGAGAGAGAGAGAACGCAGCATTCGACACTCGATGCGAATAGAACTGAAAAATTGCCATTATTGGTCGTCAGAAAATTGGTCGCCCATTGGAGCAAAGTTAAATTAGTTATTATTTGCCATACACCCTCAGCGCCAAACAAGGGGCATTTTACTATATGCGAATGCCATTTTATACGGAATATATAAACATTTTTCTATTCATACATGAAATATACGAAGTAAAGTATATTCATCCGCATCAACATCTTAGAAAATTCGTACATTTCATTCGCAACCATTCGCGGATGCCGCATACGTCTTGCTAGATGCGACAAACTGTCGTGTGACATTTGAACATACACATTGCTGTGTTCACTTTGTCGTAGCAGTTTCAAACACAATGTGATTGTTCTCAACTAAATTTGAAAAACAGTCGAAAAAAAAATTACAAGATTTTTTGTTGAATATTATTTTAGAAGCCGTATTCGATTCGAAAAGTGAGATTTTAGAAATAAATTCAGATAATATAAAAGAAATTGAAAGTTTCGTCAATCAAAATAAAAACCTTTCACAACGGTGCCTTACAGTGATTATATTACGAGTGACAAAGATTTATTTACCATTTTAGAAAAATTTCACTCAATATTACCAAAAAAATATCAATTCGGCTTGAATCTCTGTCAACTAATCTGTCACTTTGACTTTTTGAATGTAAAAATATGACTTTTCATATGCGCCATCCGCAAAATGTGTATGAAACATTCGACACCGTCCGCAAATTCGTATGAAACATCCGCCACTATTCGCAAAATTTGTATGAAACATTCGCTCGCATATGGAACATTCGTATAAGTCGGAACCCCCTAGGCGCCAAACATTTGACGACGACGATGAGCGAAAAAAAACAAGAAATCGACGGGAATTTCTTCGCGTTACGTTGCATTTTTCCTCTTTTTCTGTCACGTTTCCGATTTTATTTATACTGTTTCTGATTTGTTGCACTCGTTATTTGCTTTTATTTCCTGTTTCACTTTTGTTACTGTTGCGAAAGAATTTAATCCAATAAACATCGATGAATCAAAATTGAACCAAAACCTAAACGACAACCGTGCCACTTGAACTACATACGATAGAGAACAACAAAAAAAAACACACACACATTTCGTTTGAAAACATGCTGTTTGTTTGAACGAACACTTTCCTTGTCATCGTTATTTGTATTTGCTCATTTCTTACAAAATATAAATAAAACAGCTTTTGATTTTCACACATTCCTTGAACTGAAATCATTAGGAAGTTTTTTCATCGCCTTCTCTGGTGCTCTTTCAATGCTACATTCTTCATTCAGCCGTAGTTCACACATCGAAAACAAACTTCTGTACATTGCTTTGATTTTTGTGTGAAAAATCAGTGTTCAAAACAATTTGTTTGATTTTCTTGTATTTACACTGTTGTGACTTTTGCGACATCAAAAATGCTAACAAATATTGTGCACACTTCTATTAATCAAAAGAACGACGACGATGAGTTTAGTAACAAGTGCGGCGTGGGAACTCCCTCTTCAAAAATTGCTAACTTCAAATGGCGCTAAAACAAACAAATAATTGTTTTCACTTCGTTTACTTCGAAACTTTTTTTTCATTCATACTAGACGTGTCTCGGTTTATGTCAACTTAAAGTTAAGGTAACTTAATGAAGTTTTTTTAATGTAAATTACTTTTTGCAGGAAGGCTTGATTCAACAAATTCAAAGATGTACATTCACCCAGTCCGTGTATTGAGTATTTTACGACAATGAACCATTTCTAATATTTTTTTATATTGATTGTCCTCCTAGCAAAAATCTAGCAAAATGTGCAAATACTTTTAAAATTATACAAATTTTCATATTAAATCTGTATATAAATAGAAATTCATAGTTTGTTCTTTTAATTCAGAGCCAATTGAATCGTAGTGAACGTTCAACGAAAAATGCATTTGCATCATTGGTTGCTTGCAAATACGCCAAAGTGTAGCGAGAGAGAGAGAGAGAGAGAGAGAGAGAGAGAGAGAGAGAGAGAGA